CTCTCCTATGCATTAGTATGTATTTTTTTTTTTTTTTGAGTCATTTGGGAGTAGGATGCAGCTTCAGAGAAGGTCTAGAGGGATGAGTGCAAAGCTTCCAAGTGAACACACAAGTGAGTGTTTGGAAATAACTTTCACTTTCTTTCTTTTTCTCTTTCTTTTACCCCTCCTTCCTTCCAAGTTAACTCCTCCCCGTCCTTGAGTTTTTCTTTCTTTGAATTGGCTTTGAGTCCTTCCTCTCCTGGATTGTTGGCTTCTAGCTGCACTTCCAGTTGTTGATGTTCTTAGCACCAAGTGTCTAGAACACGAGAGTGGCCGGGTGTGGTTGGTAGACTGATGGAATGGCACTTCCCTCCATTAGCTGCTTTGTTTGTCCAGCAGTGTAGTGTTACTGCGGGTGTCCACTGGCTCAGCCCTCAATTGGGAGCTGTGATGCAATCCTGCCTTTAAGGGCTTACACTGTGATGGGGAGGTGTGCATGTGTGTGTGTGTGTGTGTGTGTGTATGTGTGTGTGTATGTGTTTAATTAAAAGAAATTTAGGCCAGATTTTTATTTTCCTCTTTATGGATTCTATGCTGCTTTTAATATAGCTGAAATTGTACTGGGTTAGTATCTTGTTGTGTTCATAAATTCACTTTGAAATAATTCACAACTTTTTACTATCCTGTTGCAAAGTAACATCTTTTTTATTGACTATTTACTCAGTTGGAGTTTTGATTCTGATTCAGGAACTTATGTATGTATTCTTACTCAGTTGTCATTGAGAGCAAGAACTATGTGATTTTGTGTATCTTAACACCTGATTATGCCTGAATATGGTACTCCTAGTTGTTTACAAGTAGAAATTTAAACTTTGCTAAATTTCATCAGTTCATTTAGATTATGGTCCATTCCGTGCTATCTGTCCTGGCTGTATTTTTTTTTTTAAAGATTTATTTATTTATACAAACACTGGGTACAGTCAGAAGTGCTGGAGGATGAGATAATTCACCAGAGCCAGAGTGGAGAGCAGAACAGGCAGACTGACGAAATACACTGCTGAGGGGAGCAGCGGGGGGCAGGAGAGGTCTGTGCATCATGTGGGACCCTCGCCGGCAGCCGGGGATCGGGGATCGAACCGGTGCTGCAGAGGCTGTGGGCAGCTTTGCAACCCAGCGCTCAACCACTGCGCCACCAGGGAGGCCCCCATTCCTGGCTGTATTTTTTTTCTGCAGAGTTGGTTAGCTTGTTTTTTTCTGCCTTAATCTCAGTTTCTGATAAAAATATGGAATTGGACAGAATGAAGGAAACTACCTTTTGCTTGAAGCTGTTCACTTCATTGTAAGTCCATCTATTTTACTGGGCAGGTCACTTCCCATCCTGCAGGTGGAACAAGGGGGACACCTGATAGTTTGTTGACATGCATGCAGGTTCTGTTCTGCCTTTCTGTGATCTGCCAAAGATGGAAAAGAGACTGTAATAGAGAATGCGGCATAGTGCAAACTGACTGCCCCCCTCTAAGCTTCCCAGGAGGGCCAGTTCCCTCTAATAGAAATGCCATAGTTCATTTTCAGCAAAGGAGGATACATTAAAAATCAGGTCAAGACTATAAGTGTTTATATAAAGTAATAAATTTGAAGGCAATTTGGAAATATATTAGTTGTAGTTTTAAAACTTAAGCCAGCACTGAAGCATGTTACCTATGTAGGAAAGAGAATGGGAAATGTTCACAAATAAACCCCACATCATTTAAGAATTGATTTTTTCCAAAGTAGTAAAAATTTGGAAGAGTTCTAAAATTACATTATAAACACATTGGGTGGTGATACGTTCTGGCTTCTTTATTTGAAAAGGGGTAAAAATAATGTACTGTTCTTGCATATTTTTAGAACTTTTTAAAGCCATGTGTAATATAAGAGAAGTGATTAGAAGGTGTCTTCTTTAATATTTGAATATTCCCTTCACAAATTGAACTTAAATTGCTGAAAATATATACTTGACTATTATTTTAATAATCAGGAAAAAGTTATTTTTGAAAATTTAAACAGAACATAGAAAAGCAGAAAGAATATAAAAACCACCTAAACCATATAGGTAATATTAAGGTTTATAGTTTTGATTGAGGAAGTTTTGTAATAAGTCTAAGCATAAGTGATATATGAACAGATTATCTAATTTATCAATTCAACAGTGTCTTATTAGAATAATTACATCATTGTTGGTTCTTGTTCTTTGGCTATTTTCAGCTTTATAAATCTTTCCTCTATAGGAATAGGACCAGAGTGGTAAGAAGATGTGGAAATAACCCACATAGCCATCAGTGAATGAACTGATAAAATGTTATATATACACATGGAATATTATTTTGCAATAAAAAGGAACAAAGTACTGAGACATGCAGCAATGTGAATGACTCTTAAAAACATACTGAGTCATGAAATAAGCCAGAAAGAAAAAGAAAAATACCGGATGGTCTCACTCATAGCAGGAATTTAGAAAACTTAAATAAGGGACCAGGAGAAAGACTAATTATAGTAAAGTAAAAATCAAAATCAACAAACAACTATAAGCCAGAGACACACTACAGGAGGAGGGGGGGCTAGGAGGGATTAGGGTCAAAATAAGGGGGGGTGGGAATTGTATGGGGACTATAACCAAGATGAAAAAACATACATTGTACAAAAATGAAAAATTAAGTAAAAAAATATATAAAATAGTATATATATAAAAACAATGCTGAAAAGCCACATATTATATGATTCTTTTAATATGAAATATCCAGAGTAGGCAAATCTGTATGTAGATACAGAAAGAAGGGTAGTGGTTATCTAGGAATGGTGTGGTGGGAAAAATTGGGTGTGGTAGATATTAGATCTATACAGGGTATCTTTTTGAGTGACAAAATACTGGAAAATTAGATTGTGGTAATAGTAGCACACTTCTATGAATATACTAAAATCCATTGATTGTATATTACGAATTTTATGGTCTACGAATTAGATCTCAATAAAATTGATTAAAAACTTAAAATATTAGAGGCCAGTAAAGGCAGGGAAAATAATGACTCATATTCTGACATGCTAATACTTGTGATTGAAATATGATGTGTTTGTTTCCTTATGCTCTATAAACCAATAACAATATTTTTCTCTAGATAAAAATATATTTCTTCCAACATCTGAGTATGACATGTAGTCCATGTTAAAGAGTAGAATTGGCAATTCATTCTAATCAGCTAAATGGTCAACTGTGCTTGCTTTGTGGTCATATTCTAAGACTGAAGCAAGGTAAGGAGCATTTAGCATGGGCTTTTATGCAAGGATACATGTACTTCAGTGCAGTGTTCCATATATAAAAACCTTTACTGAAGGAAATAAGGCCTGAATAAATGTGTATAGATGTGACACTGGAATATTCTAAAGATAGCAATTCTCTGCAGATTTCTCTAAATGTGTAATGAAGTCCCAGTGAAAACCCCAGCAGGACTTTCCCTGTAACTTTATAGTAACTGATCCTCCAAATCATAAATCAGAATGAAGTTGCAAAAATAGCAGCCATCTCGAAAGGGAACTTGCTGCATTGGTATTTAGTGTATAAGAAAGCCATGATAATGAAAATTATATTACTGTGCCAGAGATGGGCATATATGTGAGTAGAAGCAGAGTATGTCTGGAAACATCTGTGCCTCTTGATGTCACTTAACCACAGGGCACATTTTGAGAAATGTGTGGTTAGGTGATTTTTATCATGGTGCAAACATCAAAGAGTGTGACTCTACAAACCTAGATGGTATAGCTGCTACCCACCTAGGATATTATGGTACAGTCTGTCAGGACCAACGTTGCATATGTGGTCTGCCTTTGACAGAATGTCATTAATTGATGCATGACTGTATTTGGAAACTTGCTATGGGTTAAAGACTGCAGTATTACTCAGCCTTTCAAAGTATAATAATTAGAGAATGAGTACATGTCAAAGATTTATGCATCAGGGAAGAAATCAGCAAGATGGTAAAACTGGTTCCAAGAGCATCTGGGGGAGAATTCTGGAATGAGATTTGTTGTATACAAAACTGGTTCATCTCTGACAACAAAATAAAACCATAACCTTACCTGGAAAATTTTTGCGTATCTACTGTCAATAGATAAAATCTGCAAGCTAGCATATGATTTTTATAGAATATAGGCTTTATATATATTTGAAACATCTCTCATAGAAGGCATGAACATAGGTTCTTGCGGACATAAATACTAGGCAGTAGTGTAAATGAACGATACTCACATATCTGGTACAATACAAGTCTAACACAAAAGATTTTAGTAGAACTTAATAGAGCTTAGCATTATATGTCAGCTATTTGCTTTTGTCTGATAATCCACTTTTGTTGGTTTAATTTTTGGACCCAGCTAGAGAGGGCTACAATCATATTCCATTTTTATTAAAATATAAAAAATATAGATTCATTTGCAAAAGATGTGGAAGAGACTAATCTTAACTTTGGATGGGAAACTGTGGGGTGATTTCATATTTTTTGGTGTGTACTACACTAAAAAGAAAAAAAATATTTTATGTAGGTTATATTTTGGAAATGTAACTGAGTAGATTTTTGGTACTTGATTTTAAAATGATCAGACGTGGAGGTGAGGTGTACTAGTTGAAGGATTTGTGCTGTATATTTATGTTTGTGTAAATTTTTCCTATAAGACAAAAATAGGGCCTCCCTGGTGGCACAAGGGATTAAGACCCAATCTATGAAGCCATCCACAGCCATTACAGCATAAGTTTGATCCTCAGCCAGGGAGCTACCCACATGGCATGGCAGACCTCTCCTGGCTCACCCACTGCTCCCCTCAGCAGTGCATTTCAGTCACTCTGCCTGTTCTGTTCCCCACTCTGTCCCTGATGAATCCTCTCATCCCCTACACTTCTGGCCTGTACCCCAGTTCTTGTATGCATAAATAAATAAATCTTTAAAAAAACAAAAATAAAAAAACCCTACCTCTGTCTGTTTAATTAACAGGGCACGAACAGTTATGGCAACAAGCAGCCATCACTTGGCATCCCTGGATACAAAACAGGCATCTGGACAGCATGGAACATCTAATGTGAGCAGGTCAGGAAGGGGGTGTGGGCCTTTCTGGGTGGCGGGGGAGAACAATTCAACTCTCCTGTGAATTGTATTGCTGATGTTACAATAAGGGTTTGTGTTTTACCAATCCATGGTTTGCTAACTCATGGTTTAATGTGCATTTTACAAGCTAGGGAAGGAGATTCAGAACAGCTTATGGACTCAGTGACTAGATGACAATGTTACATAAAAGTGAAATAGAACTCAGTTCAACATTTTGGCATACCTCCTTTTGGAGTCTTTTTTTATCTTAAAAAATTTAAATGATATTATGATAAAATAATATACCAAACATCTTAGAAAGAAGAAACATCAACCATAATTATGACCATTGAACACAGAATGTTAGGATGTTGTTGTATTTCATTACAACTTTTCCCCTAGGCTTTTGTTTCTTGCTGTGGATCTGGATATAGCTATAGTTCCTTCATTGAATATTATGATTATTTTTATACTTCTGTTCTTCTCATAACCTTGGCTTGGAAGTACATTTTAAGAAACATTCATTGTTCAGATTTCAAGAAGTAAAGAGAAGCATAAAGGAGAGAATAACATGTCTTACCATCACTGTAACCGACTTTTTGGTTTGCATCTTTTTCTGTTCACATAAAGAGATACTAGCTTATTTTTCTTATTTGGGAAATTAAGTATACTATTTAGTAACCTTTTTTTTAAGTTTAATATATCACTTTCCTTTTCTATTAAATATTTTATTATAATTTATTATAATGCCGTTGCTATTATATATATTATAATTTATTATAATGCAACTGCTAAGTACTGTTCCTTTCCATCCATTCTAAATCTACTTTAGCTGGTTCACTCTTTTTGATGTGTAGGTTGTTTCTTCATCAGTTATTAAGGCACCTCTGTTAAAAATATGTCTTAGTACCATGAGACAGTGCTTCCTTCTATCTTCACAGGTTTATTAAACTTTAAAAAGTTCTGCAGGATTTTGGATTTCTGCATTTCAAATTTCAGCTATTTATGCCTCTGTTCACAATACTCATGTACTTGGCAGTTTCTCTTATGACTCAACCCTCAGGCTATAATGAAGTGGTGCAGCATTATAGGAACTGGCGAATAGAGATGAAGTCGAAAATACCCTCTAAGGATGTTTAGGGATTTATTTTCCACATTACTTTTTTATTCTATATCTCTCTGTGGAAATCTGAACTTTTGTCAGAAATAGTGTCCCTCTCCAGCAATTCCACTCTTAGGTATTTACCCAAAGGACACAGAAACAGTAATTCAAAAGAGCACCTGCACCCCTATGTTTACAGCAACACTACTTACAATAACTAAGCTATGGGAACAACCCAAATGCCCAAAAATAGATGACTGGATCAAGAAGATGTGGTACATATACACAATGGAATATTACTGAGCAATCAAAAAAATAAACTCATGCAATTTGCAGCAACATGGATGGAGCTGGAAGGGATTATGCTCAGTGAAATACGCCAGAAAGAAAAAGAAAAATACTAGATGGTCTCACTCATAGCAGGAATTTAGAAAACCTAAATAAGGAACAAGGAAAAAGACTAATTATAATAAAGAAAAAATCAAAATCAACAAGCAACTATAAACCAGAGACACACTACAAGGGGTGGAGGAGGGAGTAGGATCAAAAAAAAGAGGGGTGGGAATTGTATGGGGACTATAACCAAGATGAAAATGCATACATTGTGCAAAAATGAAAAATGATGTAAAAAAATACAAAATTAAAATAATAAAAAAAGCAAAAAAATAATAAAATATTTACAATTTATAAAATATAAAAAAATGCAAAAAAATAGTGTCCCTCTCTCACCGTTGTCCTCTGATTGGATATTTTCCTAGCTAACTGCTGCATTAACTTTTATAATGTTGAGTTTAAAAGGTAGAATAAAAAAAAAGAGATTACTAAAAGCAGTAATAGATAGAGGGTATGGCATTCAGAGAGATGCTGGGTAAGATCTGTGGGCTGGGAATCTTCCGCCTATGTGAAGTTGTTGAAGTCGTGAACCATAAATGCTATTTCCAAGAGAGCAAAGCAAATGAGAAGAGAATGGAGGAAGGAGACTTTGGAGGACAGAAGGCAGTGAAGGAATGGCCGATGGAACGAGAATTCAAGTATGAATTGTGGAGAAGTGTAAGAGGGAAGACTCAATGAGAAAGTGGCTGCAGACTGGGGAAGGGGCAGTGGAAAAGGGTCTAGGTGTTGCAAAGAGATTGGCTTGCATATAGGCTGAAGAGCCTTGCATTTTGTGGTATTTTAGCTTGGAGGGTTTCGAGGAAGTTAGGGCAGGAACCAAGGTGTGATGGTTGAAGATGAATAGGTGGTAGGGAAGTAAGGGAAGTGAATGTCAACTCTTGGAAGCTCTTGCCTATCAAGGAATGGCCAAGGTTGTGTATAAGGGGAGAGAAAGCAAGGATGAGGGTGAGTAATCTTTTTTTCTCGTTAAATAAAATAAGTGAGATTTGTGTGTGTTTGAGTTTAGAGGGGGTCACAGAGAAGAAGTTGAAGATATATAGAGGAGAGAGATTATGTACCTTCTTTCCCTCTAGGAAAAGGACTAGACCACACATGGCCACTTTTTCTTACTAATATAACTTCTCTCCCAGGGGAGGAATGAAAGGAGAGCTAGTAGTCACAGAATCTCTATAGCCAATGTAAGTTAATATAAATTTTGAATTCTCAGAGGGCAGAGACCACACCTCCAGGTAAATAACTGAAAATGGTCATGGGAATGTGAGGTCTAGTTATCCAGGGCCACAATTTCAGTGAAATTTGAAGATATGGGAAATTATTGGAGCAGAGGGGATCCTCAGTTCCTGAAAAAGTTAGAAACTTTCTCTGGAAGCACTTAGCTTTCTGCTTCCTTAATCCATATTAGCCTTTATCTTTCCCGTCACTCATATGTCCTCAATTCTTCAAAAATAATAAAATGCTTACATGTTGACTGTCTTAAGTCCTTTATATTCTGCTTTTCCACTTCTGACTACCCTTTACAGCTTGTAAGTTTTAATAAGAAAAACTGCTTAGAAAATGCTTCAGATGTTCTGAACTTTTATTTGTTCTCTAACATGTTATCATTTATTCTTTCCTCACTGTGATTACTAACTTGTTTTGTATTATACAATTAATTCCATAAACTATTATTAAAATAAATTTCTTTAGTTATATGCTTGACAGGTCTGATTATTGAAGGTAATTCAGCTACTCATTCAGTCTTTAAGTGAACATATCATCTAAATTAGAAACAGGGAGAAAGAATTTTCACTTTATTGGAGATATAAAGAAAGACACGTGAGTAGGGTTCCAACATATCAAGAATATTTGTGTGTAATGCCTGTGGGATGGGCTGAATGCTCACAACTTTTGTAGAATGATGGTTTTTTTTTTTAAAGATTTATTTATTTATTTATTTATTTGTATATACAAGCACTGGGTACAGTCAGAAGTGCAGGAGGGTGAGAGAATTCACCAGAGCCAGAGCGGGGAGCGGAACAGACAGACTGACGAAATACACTGCTGAGGGGAGCAGGGGCGAGACAGGAGAGGTTTGTGCGCCATGTGGGACCCTCGCCGAGGGCCGGGGATCAAACCGGCATTGCAGAGACTGCGGGCGGCTTTGCAGCCCAGTGCTCAACTACTGCACCACTGGGGAGGCCCCATGGAATGACATGGTTTTAATTTGCATAGGACTTGAAAGTTCACACAGTACACTCATAGCAACCATTGCCTTTGTTTCTCTTGCATACATTGTGAAATGGAAATGCATGATGAACATCAATTCTGATGTGTTTTTTCCATACCACCAAGGAATTAACTCAACTCTGATATTATCTACTAGGTGATTTCATCACCTCCCACAAATTCAGGGCTTAGTTCTACAAAACTGCCCTTTTCCCCTTCAGAAGCCAGTTGGGAGTCCAGATTATTACCTGTGTTTCTGTTCTAACAGCTATCAATATATATTGGAGTATAGAGGCCAAGGGAAAATTTCCCTTTTTCCCCTTCAGGTTCTTCTAGGACTAGTTGAGCAATCAAAATAGCATCAGGCGCATCAGCAGGAGAAAAAGATCAATTTAATTACTTAGTATGAGTAATCTACACAGATAATGAGGATATCACTATCCTGAGTTAAGGAATAGGATAAGTATTCCTTATCTCAGGAGCTTCACGGAGAAAGAGAGGGCAACTCACATGATGAAAGAACCATATATTCTGTAATTACATGTTTGTCTTGCCATCTAGATAGGTTTCTCTGATAGAAAGGCTATTTTTGGAATGAACCCTAAATCTAGGTAATACTCTCAGTTTTTATTCTACCAGGTAGCTAAGGGAGTGATAAATGTTTTCCCTGTATCTACAGAGCCTCAGTTGACCTTCTCTCAAAATAATCTACATGTGAAAGTGGTACATCTAGGGGAGGTCCCTTCTGAGCCCCTTCATGAAGTTCCTTGGTTTTGATTAATTGCTAGAGTAGTTCACAGAGCTCAGGAAAACATTTTACTTACTAGATTATCAGTTTATTATAAAAGGCTGTAACTAAGGAACAGCTAGATGGAAGATTTACATAAGGCAAGCTCTGAGGAGGTCTGCAGATGTTCCCATCCTCCCTGGCTTGCTACTATCCCTGCGTCTCCACTGTTCACTGACCCAGAAGCTCTCTAATGCCTTACTTTTGGTATTTTTATGGAGGCCTCATTACAAAGGCATCCCCGAGGGCCTCCCTGGGGGCGCAAGGGGTTAAGACTCAACCTATGAAGCTGTCCACAGCCTCTGCAGCACGAGTTCTATCCCTGGCCGGCCAGGGAGCAACCCACATGGCGCAGCAGACCTCTCCTGACTCACCCGCTGCTATTTCGGTAGATATATTTCAGTAGATCTGCCTGTTCTGTTCCCCACTCTGTCTCTGGTGAATCCTCTCACCCCCCGTATCTCTGACCTGTACCTCAGTTCTTATATGCATAAATAAATAAATCTTTAAAAAAAACATAAACAAAGGCATACCCAATTAAATCATTGGCTGTTGGAGACTGATTTAATCTGAAGACTCTTTCCCCTTCCTGGAGGTCAGGAGTGGGTGTGGGACTGAAAGTTCCCACCCCACAGTCATTGGATTGGTTTCTCTGGCAACTAGACTTCATTCTTAGGTGAGATGCAAAAGTCACCTCATTAAGATCCCTTGATATGGCTCTCCTTGCTTCAGAAATTTCAAGAGTTTTAGGAGCTCTGTGCTAGGAATGAGATCAAAGACTGGATATGTACTTATTATAAATCACAGCATCACAGGGAGCTTTTAAAAGATGAGGCAGGGGACCCCAGGTGGTTAAGTGACTTTTTGTAAGTCATGCGACTGGTGAATGGCAATCCCGACTTCTGATTTCTAGTCCAGGTGACTTTTCATTACATCATTCCAGACTTGAGGAAGATGCCATGTTGATAAGACTCTTGCAAGATACTTGGCTGTTTTTATAATAGCTTGTCCTTCCAGTCTAGTTGGACAGGTGTGATGTAGCCAGCTTTCTAGGGCCTTAAGACAAACAGAAGAGTTTTTTGTAAGTGTGGGCAGTCATTTTAGGTCCTTAGTCTGAAGAACTAGCGTGATAAATACCTGTTTTAGGAACAGAAGCCTGAGAGTGATATCCAGGATGAATTAAGGCAGAATTAGGACCCTCTGGGAAGATGTTGGGCCACCCAGTTCTACTGAGCCAGAAATTCTGGACATGGGGATCAGCAGTGTTTTATCAAGCCCCACAAGTGAGTCTAAAATTCTCTGAAGTTTGAGAACCCTGAATGAAAGCAGTAATAGGAAGGCATTCTTGGAGATTTTCAGAATTCAGACTTGCAGTGGTAAGAGACTCATTATTGTGAATGGCTGTGGTAGCCAGTGACTCAGAAACATTTGAGAAATCCTTGTTGATAGTAAAGTTGCCCTCTTGGGCATTCCTTGCAGAATGCGTAGCAGAGCCAGTATTCTAGAGAGATTTTAATTCCACATGAACATCTTGACTCACCACTTAAAAGGGTTGAGTTTACTGTGTTTGGAGGTGCTGGGCTCCTGTGCTTGTGTATCCTGTAAACTGGGGCATGTTGTGCATCCTCCCAGGTGACAGTGTGGCCAGCTGAGATGCAGAGGTGGTTGTTTGTTTGGTGAGGGGATCAGTATCTGTCCACAGCCCATTTCCTGTTAATAAAGACTGGGTTGTGACCTGAGAGAACTTGTGGGAGTTAAGATGAAGAGAACAGGTGAGAAGTACAATTGGAAAGCCTTATACTGAAGGGGAGGGGTAATGAGAACATGAGTGGGGATTGCTGAGCCAAAATGTTTTCTTTTGTCCTAGAATAAAAATCCCCCATTGTCACTAGGTTCCTGGTTTCTGGCTGCTTTCTGCCCTCAATTTTTTCCCAGTCTGCCTTGCTCACCAGTGTAGAATCTTCATTCCCAGTTTAGAATCTTCACCTCTTCCCTCAACCTAGATATTCCCAAGGCTGACTGCTTTTGTAGCACTTGGGTGTCACCCTTTGGAGCCTTTTCCATGACCATCTTTGTTAATGTTGGGCCTCACCTTCAACCTCCCAAACCAGTTTCCCTCCCAGACTACTTGTTCCAATCTAAGATGATCTTATTACTGGTCTCCTTATTTAAGTTTGTCCTCCTTCCCCCCAATAATGAAAATCTGGAATCTTGTATGTCTTGCTCATGCTGTATCCCCGGGACCTAGAAGGGTGCCTGACATACAAGCTCCCTAAATATTCATTGAGTGGATTCTAAGCAGAGATTTGATATGGGGGGGGGTGTAGCAGTTGGGTAGAGATGTGTCTGTACACCCCAGGCAGCCAATAACAGCTAACTGAGACTGGGTAATAGAGATGAAGCAGTGTAAATTCAAAAGGTGTTCAGGAAGTGACATTGACAATATTTGGTGATGAACTGATAGGAGAGATATCAAGGAACTTTCTTATGAAAAATATTTCTGTGAAAGGTTTGTGAATGTCTTGCAGTCTTATTTGACCTCTTTATTCACTGGAAACTTAAGAACAAAACAATTCTGTATGTGGGAGTTTTCCAGAGAAACAGGATTAATAGGATATGCATATGAGATTTATTGTAGGAATTGACTCATGTGATTGTAGAGGCCAGGAAATCCCATGATCTGCTGTCTGCAAGTTGGAGAACCAGAAAAGATGGAGTGAATTCCATCTGAGTCTGAAGACATGAGAAGCAAGAGCACAAGAGGGATGGATGTCCCTCTTGTACACAAGAAAATGGATGTCCCATCTTGGACAGACAGCATGACTTCTCCTTCCTCTGCTTTTTGTTTGTTTAGGCCCTCAGAGGACTGGCTGATGTCCATCCACAGTGGGTAGAGGAGAGCTATCTGCTTTTCTCACTTCACCAACTAAGGAAACCTAGAAATAATGTTTTGCCAACTATGCGGATATCATTTAATTCAGTCACGTTGAAGCATCAAATGAACCATCACAAATTCTCTAGCCATCCCTCCACCACGAACTTGCCTTATTTCTAGAGGAGAGATGCCTTCAAACCTTAGACCTGAGGAGTTCTATCTCTAAGCAGAGCAGCTCTACCCACCCACACATCCAACAGTATTTTCTAGATACCACTTGAGTATGTTCTAGATACCACTTGAAGGCCCTGGTGGCACAACAGTGGCTAAATAATTCCTGGCATTTATATCCAAGAGGGAGAAGACCAACCGAGACAAACGTGCGCAGATACTGGCACAAGATACTTTGGGGTGGTAATAAGAACTGTGGCACAAATTAATCAGTGAGACAGGAAGGGGCGGGGTCATCCAGGCAACTCTGTGTTTATGCTTTTTGAGCTGAGATCTGAATAAACAGAAGGAACCAGCTGTGGGGGCGGAAGGTGGTTCCATGCAGTAACTTCAGAACCTATTTCTGGCTGATGAGTAACTGAAATGGGACTTTATTCCCCATGCTTGAAGAATGAATTCAGACAGGTTGCTGGCAGGGACATTCAGCCTTAAATTCTTCAAAATAATCATTATATTGTTCACAATTTTTTAAAAAAAATTTATGCATCAAGAACGTACAGGCCACAGGTGCAGGGGATGAGAGGATTCACCAGAGACAGAGTGGGGAACAGAACAGACAGACTGACTGAAATACATTGCTGAGGGGAGCAGCGGGCAAGACAGGAGAGGTCTGCTGTGCCATGTGGGTTGCTCCCTGGCTGGCCGTGGATCAAACTTATGCTGCAGAGGCTGCAGATCGCTTCATGGTGTGGTGATTAACCCCTTGCGCCACCTGCAAGGCCCTGTTCACAAAATGTTTTCCTACTAAACATTGTTACACAAACCATCTGAGAGGTGGATCTAGTTTTAAAGAGAAAAATTCCTATTGTTCATAAATAATTAACAGATAATTTTCAAAAAGTTAAATGACCCATACAGGTATAAAATGAACATGTTAGCTCACTCATTAATCAATGAGGAAGATGTTATAATAGATTCAAAGGAAAAGTCAAAGCAACACAAATTTATATGCAGTAAAGGAATGGCTAAAATAAATTAGAAAAATCAGGTAAAATCAGCTTCTTCCATCATGAAGGCACCAACTGAGCTCTACTGGTCAGGACAGAATTTACATGTTTTATAGACAACACTTATTTTGTATTGTTATCATTTACTTACTGTTTATAGATACATAGTTTATATTATATGTGCAATAGTTTCCATAGAGTCAAAAGTAAGTAACCTAGAGAGGTCTCTTCTAGAGTCTAGATAACACTTAGTTCTCCACTGAAGTACATTTCTCCTCTTACCTAATCTGAGTAAAAGAAAATAACCTCTGCCTTGATTAAAGGCAGTTCTTATATCTGTGGTCATCAGAGTACACATTTACTTAGTAACCACTAGGAACATATTTGTCAGTTTATTCTATCCATGATGTAGGTGTGATATGACCAATTTACAGGTAAGAAAATCAGACTCCAGGAGGTTAAAGACACTAGTAAGTGCACGGCAGACCTCTCCTGCTGTGCCGCTGCTCCCCTCAGCAGTGTATTTCATCAGTCTGCCTGTTCTGTTCCCCACTTTGGCTCTGGTGAATTCTCTCACCCTCCCGCGCTTCTGACTGTACCCAGTGCTTGTATAAATAAATAAATAAATCTTAAAAAAAAAAAGACAAAAAAAGACTTAAAAAAAAAAAGACACTAGCTCCTTCCCTGTGACAAGTTGCTAACAGTAAAAGCTATATTAATTCTATGTGTTTTTTTCTTTTTCTTCAGGTCACCATCAAGTAAGGTGGATCTCAAGAGTGGCCTAGAAGAATGTGCAGTGGCATTGAATTTATTTCTTAGTAACAAATTTACAGATGCCTTAGAATTGCTTCGACCATGGTAATTTATTCTTATTTCTTTTAGATAAAATATATTTTTTCAGATGTTTCTATCTTTGATGTTGTAGAGGAGGAAGATGCCCCTTTTCTAGGTTCTTTCACTAATCTAGTAATTAAATTGATGTGAGACCGATCAATAGGAGAAATACGAATTTAATTTCATACATAAGGAACCCCAAGTTCTGAGGCCCAAAGAAGTGACCAAAACAGGCAACTTTTATACCATTTAGACAAAGATAAGGTAAATTTGTAAAGAATTGATAAGACAAAGAGATTTGATAAGACAAAGAGGGTGTTAGCATACAACCATGGGATCTCTTGGGATCCCCCAAATTTGCACACTCCGAAGGGGTCTGGCTTTCTGTGCACACAAAGACAAAGTGTGCAAGAACTTTATTGGGATTAGCATGCATAGGAAAAGAAGAGAAGAAATGATAGCTTCCCAATAAAACACCCAAAGTTACCCATCCTTTTGTGAGCAAATGCCCAGCCAAACAGGGTTGACCCCAAATGGGGCTGTTGAGGCTTGAAAATTTCCCACAAGTCTAAGGCACCTTCTGGCAGTGAACCATAGGAAAGGGGTTCTGAAATAGGTACCCAAAACCTGGGACAAAAGAAGATACCTCATCAGAACAATGGCTGCCATTGTCAGCCAAGGGTCTGTCACCCATGTGCACTTCAAGTGACTCTACATGTCTTTCCTGTGTGTCTGCTACTTCTCCAGCAGTACCAGGGTGTAAGTCAGGCTATAGAAGCAAAAGTTCTCCCTGTTCTTTTCCCTTGGAGCCCACCTGCCTGCTGTGTTGGAGAGCTCCAGTTGCCCAGATCCAGGTGACATTAAATGGGAGCAGGAAAAATGTACCTCCCCTTTTATGGAGTTGTCTCTGTAACTGGGATAGTACATTAGTGAAGAATTAGCTGGGATTGTCTTACAGTCTCCTAGGCCCTGCATTCCCTATCTCTGGTGATCAGATGTCTCTCTTACCTTTTGTACCAGGGAGCTTGATTTCTTCCTTTCAGGAGACAAAGGAGGCTCAGAATCCTTCTTGAACTGGCTGTTTATTATATAATTTTAATGCAAAATAATTAATATGCCAAAGTGGCATGTTTTGGGGTGACATATTCTACTCTCCTTCAAGAGAGACATTGTCACATTTGTCAGTTTTTCTGCATTTCTACCTGAATATAAGTGAATTGGTTTGCGACCCTTTACTGTTGACCCATTTTAATATCCAGTTAAGAAAGTTGTCTTTTCCAGTGTAATCAATAGAACATTTGATTCTTATCTTTTCATTTCTGCTGTAGTTTTCAAGAGCTTCATTTTACTTTCTTCAGAGAAATATTTTTATGGGTATTGCTCTTAAGCTTAAATATCACTAAAAAAGTTTCCTGTGAAATGGGAAAGGGAAGAACTACAATAAGCTAATCTCAAATGATAAAAAGAAATTTAAGGTAATAGAAATATTATTGGAGCTCCTTATTTATATGATAGTGGCATTAAACTGTCTAATTTCAATTACACATTTGGTTAATTTTTAAAATGTGGCAGCAAATCCTGGACTCACTTTTACTACAGTTCCACCTCTACAATGTAATCTCTCTCTCTATCTTTTTTTTTTTTAAAGATTTATTTATTTATGCATACAAGAGCTGGGGTAAAGGTCAGAGATACGGGGGGTGAGAGGACCCACCAGTGACAAAGTAGGGAAAAGAACAGGCAGACTGACTGAAATACACTGCTGAGGGGAGCAGCGGGCGAGTCAGGAGAGGTCTGCTTTGCCATGTGGGTTTCTCTCTGGCCGGTCTGGGATTGAACTTGTGCTGCAGAGGCGGCGAACTGCTTCATAATGCAGAGCTTAACCCCTTGTGACACCAGGGAGGCCCTCTAATCTCTTTTTTATTTTACTCAAAGACTCAATTTTATTTTTCTACCCCAGGACAAGACGTTTAACAAATCAACATTTGTCTTGTAATGGATCATCATCTCCTTTGCCAAGTAAAACTATAGAATACATCTTGTATGTCACAGATATGCCCGCTTTCAGTTTTGATGAGAAAAAGGGGTTTAATCCTGTAACAGTCTCTTTCCCATAGAAGAATGGTCACAGGAATAGTCTTACACTGTGTCATCAACACAGTCACTTGGGTGAAACTTAGACTTCATATAACAAAATAAGGGGATTGCAATTATATGGGCATAAAAGTGAGAATCTCATTCCTTCAAGTGGTCAGCAGGGTGATATGACACTGATTATTGACCTTGAATCTTAGAGATTAATTTACCTACTGAAGAACTGATGGTTAGTAATTCTATCAAGATTTAGAAGAATTGCGAGCAATTCAACTTATGTTGAATTATGTCAGCGGAACAGATGATAAGTAGGTGGTGACACATATAGCCTAAGTAAATTGTCCAGTGTTGTCTCCAACCCATGATCACAACCTCTCCTTTGCCTGTCTTCTGCCTTTCCCCCACCCCTGCAATCCTTCTCTGTCCCTCAGACTTCTCTCTTTCTATCTTCTGTGTCTACCTCCATCTGTCTTCCTCTCTCTACCTGTCTTTCCTTCTTATCTCTTCTCCCTCAAACTGCCTGTCTCCTTTGGTTTTTACTCAAACAAGTCTCCTTTTTTCTCTGCCACTGACCTCCAGCTGGTCATAATATGGAATGAGAATATGTTATTTAGTATATTATTTCACTGAGATTTTTTTATCCCGTAATCTTCATGCACATTCCATTGTTAAACATACATTTTTCTAACAAGTATTTTTTTTTCCTGTCTGGAGCTTTCAGTTTAAAATGTGAGGTTTCAAACTACACTTACTGATTAACTCAAGGATGCCTTTATGCCTTTTAGTTTTTTTTTGATAATCAGTGCCCTCGGTTTTTTTGTTGGGAGGAGCAACCTGCAAATTAACCAAAGGATGTTTAGACTGTGTCCATGGGGAAAAAGAGTAATGTGTCTTGCCTTTGTTTTGCATAGCAGCAGGCTGTAGGGGGTTATATTTGAATTAAAAGCAGTACTATGAGTTGTTGATATTTTAAATCTTATTAAAAATTAGCATAATTTAAGAAGTTTTGAGAGAAGATAGTGAGGTTTTCACAGCCTGAGAATCTGGGATGTCTGCCATACATTAGGATGAATTGACTTCAAGAATTGAAGTAGCTCTCACTGATAACTTCGATAATTGGAATGATCAGTAATTATCAGCTAATGGGTTTCGATTGGAGAGGAAGTCTAAAACTGTACTTTTTGTCGGGGACCTTTATGGCCAACCTAATTCATGCAAATATCATGCTACTTCTTGGTCTCCCTTGGGAGAGGAAACGGGAATATTTTATTCAAATTTTTTTAAATTTATATATTTTTTACATTGTTGTTCATTTTTGCACAATGTTCAATTACTCCTCTCAAGTGTAATTCCCATAAAATTCCTGCCATCAAGACACCCATTAACTGTCACCATAGATGCTTGTTTTGATCCCTTTCTCTCTCCTGCTGAATGTCTCTGATTTATAATTTGCCAGCTAGTTTTGTTTTTTTTTTCCTGATTGAAAGGGGAATATTTTAAACAAGGCTTTATCTTTCACAAAACATAGCAGAATCTCTCTGTCACAGAATACATCCCTGGAGATCTTTATTTTAGCACTTATTTCGGAGCTAAAGAAGGCCTATTGCTGCTGCTTGTGGAACTGGGAAAAATGGCTTTGCTTTGAAACATTTCCTAGGAAATGAATCCGCAGGCTGCCCCCTTGTGCTAAAACAAGGGAAAAGCACGTCCTGGTCAGCTTCTGCTTCAACATTTTGCTCTGTGTTGTGGGCTTTACACTGGAGAGTCCTTGACATTTGAGGTTTTAGGACATGTTTTCACGGTCCTCATTATTTCAGTAATTATGATGAAGTCAAAGTTAATACTGTGAAAGGCATGAATTCATTTACTAGGATTTCTTGTGATCTGGCAAGACAGGAATGCTTTGCGGTTGAATTGAAATGTGCTAACTCCCTGTGTCCTCCCCAGGGCTAAAGACAGCATGTACCATGCCCTGGGCTACAGTACCATTGTCGTGTTGCAGGCTGTCATGACCTTTGAGCAACAGGACATCCAAAATGGCATATCCGCCATGAGGGACGCCTTACAAACCTGCCAAAAGTAAGAACCAAGTCAATTCATGCTGGAGATATGATTACCAGCCTTTAGATCTTTGGGGTAAAATGAGTGTGGTTTGACTGAGAGCTCTGTTTGAAGTTAGACACAGTTACGGAAAAGGTCTTGGGCTAGACCATTTCATGTAGTTTTATGTAATAGAGTCAACACTATTGTCTGATATTTATCTGGCCAAGCACTCAGCATCGCTGCCTTTCACCTTTCTTTCTGATAATTTGAGCTACAGAAAAAGGCAGAAGCAGATATCAATGGGGTTAGCAGCAAGCATCTAAATATCTTCCTGTGGTGGACGAGTTCAGCTTTTCAACTACCTGCTAAACCAGACCAAGCAAGGAATATTCTCTTATGTGGGAAATGCTGCACATTTAGAAAGAAGGGTTTTATTTGTTTAGAAAGCACGCATTTGAATATTCTTTGCTGGTGAAAATGAGATCGATCTCTATTTTTACTTTTATCTTTGCTCTGTGTATATAGCAAGACCTGAGCAAAAGCTGTTAACTGGCATTGGTGAATTTCAACACGGATGAAAGTATGGCCTCATGTAATTATATTGGAAATTTCACAAGTGAAGAGTTTCCAAACACTGTACTCTAAAGCCCTTCTTCACGTGTCTTACTTCATACTGATTTTAGCCATACAGGTGCTTGACAGGGTTAGTGTTCACTGTTCCTTGTAGGAATGTTCACTTGGGGTCAGCGAACATGGATTTAATGTGCACTGAATGCCAGTCAGCACTGACATCTGGGTTTGCAGTGTTAAAGAGGGTTGTCTTTCGCCTACAGACTTTAGGGTTTAGACTTAGGCCTCAGTGACTCTTAGATGTGTGATTGTGATTGAAATGAATGTCAAAAAAAAAAATGAACTTTGTCTGATATATTGTTATTTTTTCCATTTCCCATCTCCCCTTCTACTTATTTTATGCAGATATAGAAAAAAATGCACAGTTGTGGAAACCTTTTCAAGTCTTCTTTCTAGAGGATCATTTGAACAGCTGACTGAAGGTACGAGTCATCTAAAAGATTAACTTTTTCCTTTCTTTGAAAAATTAAAACACGACCATACTCATAAAACCCAGTATTTAAGTGTTTGATATAAAGTAAATGGAATTTCTTTTTGTCTTCCCAGCCTACTCACCTTCCAGAAGTAACCATTGTTAATTTTTGGTTTTGAAGCCTTGCAGAATTTTCTGTTTACATATGTAAACATATATGCAAATTGCGTATATTGTTGTAGTTGTTCATTTTTTGCATGTGATACCATTACTCTACAATGTGTTTTTTTCCCTATGTGGATACCTATAAACCCTATTTCATTCTATTTAATAGCTATATAATGTTCTTTTGCTATGGGGAACCCATGTATTGTTTATTCTGTATTATTAATATTATATTGTTTTTATTTTTTCATATACAAATAATGCTGTCTTACTATTTATGTTAAGTATGTGTTCATGCATTTCTGCAACTATGACAGAGGCCTAAAAACAGAAAATTGAAAATATTTAGGTACAGCCAATATTTTCTCTGAAGAGTTAGGTCAGTTTATAGGTGTATCATTCATGAATGAGAGTTTCTGTTTTTCCACAAGCTATAATTTTACCTCAAGATAAAATAATTCTGGTACCTTTGAAAATATGGTTACTGTTTCTCAGTATGGGAAATGTTTGGTTTGTGGACATTTGGGGATAATCAACAATCCAGGTATGGCTACAGTGTCCTATCAGATGGGTGGGAGAAAATAACTACTTTTGCTGTCAAATGCTTCATGCCTCACCTGCAGATAGGGCAGATTAGCTGTTTTATGTGTCACACTTCTGTCAGAGGCTTATAAGAAAGGAGTATCTAGATATTCCTATAGAAGAGAAAATTATATCCTTCAGAGGTAGACTATAGTTCTTGCTATCTAAGGAGAATTTGTGTCTGTGTTGTTATGGTCAAATTTGTTCTCTGGAATAGGAGACACAAAATACTAAAATTTGTAGCAAGCAAAATGTCTTCAGCAGGTGGATGAACAAATTAATGGTGGTACATCAAAGCTATGAAATATTCTGCACTAAAAGAAAGAGCTATCAAGTCATGAAAGCTGGGAAGAGCCTTTACCAATCGAAATAAGCCATTCTAGGGCCTCCCCTGGTGGTGCAGCGGTTGAGCGCTGGGTTGCGAAGCTGCCCTCGGCCTCTGTGGCACCGGTTCAATCTCCAGCTGCTCCCCGGCCACCGGAGGAGGGTCCCACATGGCGCGCAGACCTCTCCTGCCGCCCGCTGCTCCCCCCAGCAGTGTACTTCGGTCCTTCTGCCTGCTCTGCTCCCTGCTCTGGCTCTGGTGAATTCTCTCACCCTCCCGCGCTTCTGACTGTACCCAGTGCATGCATAAACAAAACAAACAAACAAACAAATAAATAAATAAAACATGCCTCTATAAAAAAAAACAAAAAACAAAATAAGCCATTCTAAAAAGGCTACATACTGTGTGATTCCAATTGTATGACTTCCTAGAAAAGGCAAAACTATGTAGAGTGTAAAAAGAATAGTGGCTGTCAGGGATAGAGTGTGGGGGGAGGGCATAAGGAGAGAAAGGCAGGGAACAGTTGATTTTTAGGGCAGTGAAAATACTCTGTGTGATTAATGATAGGTACATAGCGTTTTACATTTGTTCAAACTTGCAGAATATACAACACCAAGAGTGAACCCTAAGGTATACTAAGGACACGGGATGATTGTGACTCATATGTTATCATCAGTTGTACAAATGTACCACTTTGGTGGGGAATGTTGGCAATGGGGAAAGCTGTACATGTGTGGGGCCTATAGTATTGGTACAGAAGGTACAGAAATTTCTGTACCTTCTGCTCGGTTTTGTTGTGAACGTAAAATTGTTCTTAAAAAGTAATGCCTTAATCAAAAGAAAATTAGCTGGTGACCCTAGCCTATTCTGAAATACCGGCTTATTTTGACTTTTATATCTAAAGACATAGATAAATTTCACTGCAATCATGAAGCTGTTTCCTTCAGTGGACTAAGGAATTTATAATTAAGAAACATTCTGATAGGTACATTCTCTTAAATGCCATATAGCTAATTTTGAGAACCAAGGAACTGCCTAATGTAAATCAACCAGAGTGAAGAAATAAGACTTTTATGAATTAAGTTGCATTTTATTCCTAATGAGTTTGGCTGTCACTGCAACCCAAACAGATTTTGTGTTCAGGGGAGCATGTCATAACATTGTAGCTTTGGTATGTGATTTGTTTTTCCTCTTAGTAATTTTCATTTACATCCTTGAGTGGCTGGTTGTCTGAGGAGTGAGTATATTTAATTAAACTTTTCATGGGTTTAACAGGAAACAGTCCTGTTCTTCTTCTCCTGTGGTTGGCATATTGCCTTTAAAAAAGAGATAATTAAATACAGTGCTTAGGAAGTGAAAGAGATTTAACATGAAGAATACTTACAAATGGAAGACAGAGTTTAAATTTTCTTGCCTTTTATCTCTACCTTCTTGTGACATCCTTATGGCCCATTTGTTGCATATAGATTTGTCCATCTTTAACTGAAGCCCCACCTAGCCACTATTCTGCTCAGATATCTTCAAGGATTTGCTGTTTCCTGCTGAATTAAGCCCCAACTCTGACGTTCAAGGCTGTCCATAGTTTAGCCCCAACTTGCCTTAGGACTAAATGCCCACTCCTCTCCTTATACACCTTGTGCTTGCCTGCAGGGGCTTTGTGCTTTCCTAGCTCCGTGCCTTTGCGTATGCTGGTCCTCTCCCAGCAGCAGTGTCCTTCCCTCGGCTCAGATCCAAGTCAGCAATGAGCAAGCTTTCAAAGTGAATAATTGCTAACATTTCCTACTTTCTTACAAATTGAACAAAGAAGGGGATATTCAGGTGTCTCTGTAAAGATAAAAGTTATCCTTTTTGATCCCCTTGAACACACTGAGAAAATCCAGAGACACACTCTGAGGTTAGGTGTTTTCAAGGACTGAGGTCTTGGCTGTTGCTCCTGCCAGAATGTGCAGGAGCCGTAACTCTTCAGGTTGGCCTGTTATGGGCTTGGCTGCTCTCGGGAATTGCATAGTTGTGTCTTTGTAGAGTCAACCTTTGGAAAATGAGAATGATGGGGAGTTGAATCATTTTATGAGAACTAGTGGGGTGTGTGTGTGTGTGTTGGGTGGGGGGGTTCTGTTTGTGTAAGTGAAAGAAATAAAATACTAATTCTTATCCAGTTTGATTCAACAGCATTCCTGACAACACAGAAATATCCTATTTATCAGTTACTTACTTGACATAAAATGTACTTTCTGAGCTTTTACCAAAAAGTATGACATGAGAGTGACCTTAGTGCTGGGAACTAACATATCGAATGATGGGAACTAACATATCGAGTGCTAACTCTGCACATGCAGCCCCTCACTTCATTCTTCAGCTATGAAGGAGAGACATTACTAGCTGGTCTTTGCAGATGAAGTCAGGAGAGAGGGACAGGGTAGTTTGCTTGAGACCCTATGAGTAGCCTTGTCTCCAACCCAGGCTGATAAATAATCCAAGCATATTTGCTTAAATATAATACCAATTTGCCTCCCATGGACAAAGCAGGAAGCTATTGATTTTATTTATGCAAAAATGCAGAGCTCTCTCTTCCCCTCAATCTCTGCAACTATGGTGGATTGAGTAGAAAGACAGGCCATGTATTTTGGGACGTACTACATGTCCATGGCATATACAGAGCTTTGCAAAGTCCCTTTTGTGAGCGCCTGGCTCCTGATCAGTACTAATGCTGACTCTTTCTACATGGAGTCTCCTGTGTGTGAGGCCTCTGTGGGCATGCAGAACTCTTAAGAGAGCTGCTCCTCTCTCTCCATGTTGATAATGTGCCTCATCATTGTCATGATTAACATATCTTCATATTTTAGAAGCCAGGATTCATAAAGTTGTTTTTGTCAATTTTTATGACTGCTAAGATTGCTTGGTATTAAGTTAAAAAATAAGTGGTTTCATTTTTTAAAGATTGCGTCTAAATTTTGGTTTCCTTTTGTGAGCTAATTTTGGGTCTGTGACACCTAATGCCTGAGTCTTTGCAGTTATAGAATGGGGCCAAAGCTGACTTCCCTGAACCATTTTCCCACATTCTGGGAATGTCTTGTTGAGGGACCAAGAGCTGAGATCCTCGGTCACTTTTATGGAAGCACCAGAGCAATCTAGATTTTTGTCCCTCTTGGACTCATTTATCTACCAGTCTTTTCTGAACATCTCAGAGCAGTTACTGGGACATGGGATTTTTCCTAATGTATTCTTATTTGTTTTTAATAGAGGAAATGCATGCTGAAATCTGTTATGCCGAGTGTCTCCTACAGAAAGCAGCACTCACGTTTGTTCAGGTAATGAACGTCTGGCTTAGAATCGGTATTGCTGGGGAAACTTGTCAGTAGATAGAGAAAAAATGTGGCTCATGCTATGTCAGTGCCTCAGTTCTTTGGACTTTAAGAGTTGCAATGAAAGATATTTGCTGTTCTGATATCCCTCTTATATTTGCTAATGGAGTACCTGGCAGAGGAAGTTCCTTAATCCCTGGCTACTCCAATCTCCCACCAGATGCAATAGCAAAGCTCAGTTATGCATGGATAGAAAGCCAAACTTTTCATGTATACTTGTTTTTATTTTCCCCCTCTTTCTATTCTCATTCCCCATTTCTTGCTTTTATTTCTTCCTTTGGAAGAGCAGTTTTAAAAGTCAGTAAACAAAACAATCAGTCCTTTCTTTATGGGCATTTAATATCGCCTCTAGGAACTGTTACAACAGCATTTTGCCTGTCATTGTATCTGCTGGTGCTGCTAAAAACATGCATTTTGTCATCGTGGTTGCCCAGTGATGAGACTATAAATGGGTAGAAACTCAACTGTAAAGTGGAAAATCTCCCTCAATTCCAATGTTTTACATTGTGTTGAGAGTTGCTTTTCTCTTTTTCTAGAGATTGACTTCTTAGTTTGGATTCTGGTTTAGTAAAACTGAAAAAATCTAATCTGTGACCATGTTTCCTAAAACTCTGCATGTTATCAGCACTGACTGGAAACAATATTCTTGTTGCCTCAGTAAACACCGTGCTAATCATGGAGGCCCTACTCTTTTTCTGACGTGTTTTCCAAATGAACACTTGACAGTCAAATCTGGGATTTGATGGCTTATTTTATAATTGGGGATTTGCAATTAAATACCCTCCTGCCTCCATATTCCGTTTCATGGTCGTGCCTTTATTTATTTGATTTAATCTTTTAAAGCAGCCACCGTAGCTCTTCCTCTCTGTTCTGACAATGGTTGTTCTGTGGCAGTGCTCATCCAGTCTTCCCTAGACTGCACAGCAATCTAATGACCCTCCCTCTCATTTCTCTTACCTCAAAGCTCATCCTCTATTGTAAAATTGAGCACCCTCTCAAAGATGAAAAATCTCGCCTTCTGTCATTTCTCTGCTTCAGCATTTAGTAGCTGTCATTGACATTTGTTCTGTATGAGAATGTCTGAAATAGGGGAGGTCTTTTCAAACTAAACTGGTATCTGCTCCCCCTCCCACAGTGGCCTACTCCCCTCTTAGCAATGTCCTCAGATGCTACTGGCATGTATGTTGCATACTTGAGTGGCATGGGTAGAGACTGCTTTCTTACTCCTTATTCATTCCCTTCTTTGCAGCAGATTCTGCAGCGGTGCTGAGTTACATAAACACAGATGGTCAAGTACACATGATCTTTAGAGCTTCCCTGCCTTTCCATTAGAGTTCTCCTTTGCTTGCAAGCTTCACATCTGCTTTGCCCCCTTTAATCTAACCACTTCCTAATCATTTTTTGGTGCTTTTAGCACTGATGCTTCCAGGAGGTTTTTGTAGACCTCTCCATGCCCCACCTTTTACCCCTTTTGTGCTTTCATGACATCCTGTGCATGTCTCCATTTGTGTGCATGTTTCCAACTCTTAGCACAGTGTATTGCTTCTGTCTGATTTTGCTTTCAGGTGCCTGGTATAAAATAGGCATTCAGTAAATGTTTGGTGAATTATGAAATGAAAAATTTTTATTTGAGGTAGATTTTAATCTAATTTAATAAATTCGTGGTCAGTATTGGAACTTATGTGATCTTAAGTTTCCTTAAAATAAGAAGATTAAGCATTTACTTTGCTTATTTTGTATTAATTAATTCCTATACTAATTCAAATGTTAACTCATTAAATAATTGATGAAAATTTCAAATTAAGATTAGCTTTTCTTTTGCTTTGGAGGGATGCATGTTTCTGATACTAATAGAGCAGAAAAACTTTTATGGAATTGTGAAACATGCAGCCATCTCCATTAGCACTTTGTTTTAGAGCAACTTCCTTCAAGCAGTTATTTGATGTAATTTATTAAGAGATCCTTTTGGAATTCTAGAATATTGACCCGGAAAATCATAGTCATCTAGACCTACTGCTTCAATTTTTTGGTTCATGACCAGCAGGCAAAGAGAAGTGAAATATTTCCCCCCAAAGCCAAAATTGCATATCAGTGAAAAGTTTAGAATCTGAATTATTTCTGGTCTGGAAATAAACATAAATGAAATTCACAATGTTCATTAGACTTTGCCTGATAAAGTAACCTGCAAAAGAAGAACTATTACCCATTTAGTGGAGTTAGACAGGAAAATTTGACCTTAGAGCACATCCTTAAATCAGTCATTTTGGATTCTATTGAATCCAGAAGAAAATCGCTCACTAAAAGATGATATTGATTAAAATAGGTTTGGACTAACCTACATGGCCCCATAATTGGTGAGGATTACTCCTTTAATTACTTCCTTAAAGTTTATAAAACTTTAAAAAACTTTCTTTTTTGTTGACATTAAACTTGGAAGAAAAATTACATAAAAACCTCTCATATGTAAAAAAAAATATTATTTTAATTTAAAAATTATGTCATCAAAAGGGAGTGTTTGGTTCTAACCATACAAATACATAGCTGTGGGGATAGTTTAAGAGTCTTCTGCTAAATGATCTAATTATTCAATTGTATTGTTTTTAGGATGAAAATATGATCAACTTCATCAAAGGTGGACTCAAAATTAGAACAAGTTACCAAATATATAAGTAAGTTAAAAATTAAGATGTAGTGTTTAAATGATTCTGGTACAGCGTGCCACTTTGTACTTTGAAATTCTCATTAAGTAAGACTACTTTTTAAAAAACTCGGTGTTGGTAAAAATGCACTTGATTTTTGCCATACTGAGTCTGTATTCAATGCCTTATGACAAAATTGTATTTCAATACAATTTTGAAAAAATAACTGAAAGCTGCTTACATAATTTCAGATTAGATAATTATTATTTCTCTCTCCTAAAAATAATTTGTATATTTAAAATGACAGGTATGTTTTGGTTGAGACTCTAAAGTAGCAATGCAAAATAGAATTTTCTATAGTGATTCAAATATTTAATTAAGGTGGACCAGAGTGGAGTTCATGATTTCTATATCCATACTAATTTTTTCTAATTATCCTATCATTTACTGCAGTGTCAAAAATCTCTAGCTTTGATTCTGGAGTCATCATTTGTCCTGTTAATTCTATCAGTGTTTGTTTGACATATTTAGAACCTCTATTATTAAATTTAGGTATACTTAAAGCTCTTTTTTTTATTTTTCTAGTGAATTGCTCTTTTTATCATTTTGAGTGTCCCTACTTAATTCCTTATAGCTTTTCTGTCTTGAAATCTGTTTTGTTTACAGTATGACAGTTACTCATGTTTTTTTGAAATTAGTGTCTGCATGGTATATATTCTTTTACTTGAAACCTATCTTTGTTTTTTAATTTAAGTTGCATTTCTTGTTGATGTGCATACTTGGGTCTTGCTTTTTTTTTCAGTGTGACAATTGGTATGTTTCCACTTTTGACTACTATTTTGCCTTTTTGCTTCATTTATTTTCTTGCCTTTTTCTGTCTTCATTTACATTAGTAGATTTTTATGTGCATACATACATATAGATGTATGTACACACACATAAATTCCATTGTAATCCCTCTGTTGTTTTCTTAGTTGTAAGTCTCTTTAATTTTTTTTAAATGGTTGTACTATTGGTTATAGTATACTCCTTAACTTATAACAATTAACTTACAGTTAATGTTGTTCCATTACACATAAAATGAAAAGATGGCAAAAGTATAGTTTAATTTACCACCTATTACCTTATATACTATTTTAAGTAATTCCATTGATAGCACAGGGGCATATATTATAAACCTCACAATGAACTGTCAAACTTTTGCTTTAAACAATTGTATGTTATAGTCTTTTCTGTGTACTCATATCTTGATCATTTTTAATATTTTCCATTTCTTATAAACTTACAAACTGAAAATTGTCTTTTAGCATTTTTTTTGCACTGTGCATATCTGCATTCAACAATTTTGTATTAATTTATCTGAAGACATCTTTATTTTTGAAGGTTATTTTTGCTTAGTATAATATTCTGAGTTACAAGGTTTTTTTCCCTTCTCCTTTCATTCTTTTAAAACTATCAATCCAATAAAATTGGCTTCTATTGTTTCAGAACAGAAGTCAGCTGTTATTTGCAATATTGTTACCCTGTCTGTAATGTGTCTTTTTGTGGCTCCTTTGAAGACTTTTCATATCTTTGGCCCCTAGCAGTTTGACTATGATGCACTTAAGTGTAACTTAAAGAATTTGTGTGCATTATTTCTTTAAATACCTTTTCTGCACATTCTCACTTTCTCCTCTCCTTCTGAGAGTCCCATTACATGTTAGTTAGTCTGATTTTATTTAGTAGGTCAGCAAGGTGCTGTGCATTTGGAAAAAAAGATTATTTTTCTCAGATTGGATATTATTTCAATATCTGGGCCTTTTGTCAATTTCTATTGCTATATTTGCTTTATTCACTTTTTTCTATTCTCATGTCAGTAAGTTTTCAGTTGTATACTATATATTGATTCATTGTAGAGACTCAGGATTCTATTATCTTTCTCAGAAGAGAGATGATTTTTGGTCTGGGAAGCATTTAACTTGACTAGACTTCAGCTTCAGTCTCTTACTCTAGCAGTCGTTAACATCTGAAATCTAGGCTTATTATTCTGTCTCATTAATGCTTTTTTCTGAAGACTTCCTGGTACTGACATAGTTCATAGGTCAGCCAACAATTTGGAGTTTTAACATAGACTTGGTGTTTCCTTCCTCTGAGATTCTCCTGTATCTGAAATTTACCCCTTTATCACCATTCTGGCAGTCTTGAACTCTGTACTCTGACTTTTTAAACCAATAAGAGTGTGGCTTTCTGTATAAGCTCTAGGCACCTCATGTTGAATGTATTTGGCTTAATATAGTAATTTTATTCCATTCAAAATCTCAAAGGAGACTGGAGGTGGGGATTTGGGGAACTTGACATTTCATTTAGTTTTCCTTTCAGATTGTTATTTTGGAAGGTATACAAAATTCTGGAAGCATTGATTGCTTTTGTAGTTACCAAAACTTACAAAACTGAGTTAAAATATTCTTGTGATGGCGCAGATATCTATATATCATTGAAATGGAACTTTAGGTTTTGAAATAGTGTGTGAAAGCTTACCCAAACATCTGTGTATATGCATATGTGCTTATACCACACACACACACACACACACACACACACACACACACACAAGTACACACACAAGTATCTACCTGGGAATTCAAAATATACTAAATTCCTATATATAGATAGATCCCTTTCAAATCAGCAGAGAAAGATGGGTACTTTAATAAATTGTTTTGGGAAAGTTGTCTCTTCATTTTGGAAAAATAGACTATACAAAAATAAATAACATAGATTCAAATTAAAATATTGTTTAAAGAATACTAATAAAACATAAAGTATTTTTTAAGGAAATTATTTTTATAGCCCTAAAGTTTATTTTATTTTAATTTTATTTTATTTTTTAATTTAAATGTTATTTTTATATTCCCCATACAATTACAACCCCCTTATTTTGACCCCAATCTCTCCTTTCCCCACCCCCACCCCCCATAGAGTGTCTCTGGTTCATAGTTGTTTGTTGATTTTGATATCTTCTTTCTTATAGTTATTCTTTTTTCTGGTTCCTTATTTAAGTTTTCTAGATTCCTGCTATGAGTGAGACCATCCTGTGTTTTTCTTTTTCTTTCTGGCTTATTTTGCTGAGCATGATCCCTTCCAGCTTCATCCATGTTGCTGCAAATTGCATGTGTTTATCTTTTTTGAATGCTGAGTAATATCCCATGGTGTATATGTACCACATCTTCTTGATCCAGTCATCTATTTTTGGGCATTTGGGTTGTTTCCAAAGCTTAGGATAGCCCTAAAGTTTTAAGGTCTTTCAATGTTTCTTTATTTAAAAATTTTTCACATTGAAATGATTTCAAAATTTCTACTAAGAATTTTCCTATATATTTTCACTAGGATTCATAAATGTTATAGAGCTATAATATAGATATTAAAATCAAGAAAACTAACATTAACAGAAATTAGTAACTGTTGACATTACTTATACATCTCTAATTTTCTTGTCAATGTTCTCACCAACCCAGACCTATGATCCTGGATGTTGAATTTAATTGCTGTGTTTCCTTAGCCTATTAATCTGTAAGAGTCTCTCAGTCTTTGTCCTTCATGACTGAGACATTTTTTTTTTTTTTATAAATTTTATTGTTATATTCCCCATACAATTGCAGCCCCCCCATTCTGACCCCAATCCCTCCCTCCCGCCCCGCCCCCCTAAAAGTGTCTCTGGTTCATAGTTTTTTGTTGATTTTGATTTTCACTTTCTTATATTCATTTTCCTGGTCCCTTATTTAAGTTTTCTAGATTCCTGCTATGAGTGAGACCATCCGGTATTTTTCTTTTTCTTTTGGCTTATTTCGCTGAGCATGATCCCTTCCAGCGCCATCCATGTTGCTGCAAATTGCATGTGTTTATCTTTTTTGAATGCTGAGTAATATTCCATGGTATATATGTACCACATCTTCTTGATCCAGTCATCTATTTTGGGCATTGGGTTGTTTCCAAAGCTTAGCTATTGTAAACAGTGCTGCTATAAACATAGGGGTGCAGGTGTTCTTTGGAATTGATGTTTCTGTGTCCTTTGGGTAAATACCTAGGAGTGGAATTGCTGGATCATATGGAAGCTCTATGTTTAGTAGGTCCAGAAATCTCCACACAGCTCTCCACAGTGGTTGGACCAGTTTGCACTCCCACCAACAGTGCAGAAGAGTTCCTTTTTCTCCACACCCTCGCCAGCATTTGTTGTTGCTAGTTTTTTTAATATGTGCCATTCTCACTGGTGTAAGATGGTATCTCATGGTAGTTTTGATTTGCATTTCCCTGATGGCAAGTGATGTTGAACATTTTTTCATATGCCTGTTGGCCATTTGCATTTCCTCTTCAGAGAAGTTTCTTTTTAGCTCTTCTGCCCATTTTTTGACTGGATTATTTTCTTTGTTGTTGCTGAGTCGACTGAGACATTTTTGAAGAATACAGGCCAGTTACTTTGTAGAACATCTCTCAATGTGTACTTATCTAATGTTTCTTCATGATAAAAATTGAGATTTTGCATCACTACAAGAAAAACATAAGGGTGATGGATGTTGTGCCCTTCTCAGTTCATCATATCAGTTGATACCTGATGTCTACATCAGAAGCCTTTTAAAGGATGACATAAAACTAGGAAACATAAAGATTGCCCTGACCAAATAAACATTACATTTCATTATGGCAAAATATATCATAATAAAAAATACAAATAGAACTGTAATAGAAATGACTCCAGGCAAATGGCTGTGAGAGCGAGCTCATAGGTTGGTGGGAGTCTAAACTGATAAAGAGTTTTTTCTATCTGAAGGATGTTGTCGGTCAGTGCATATCAAGATTTAGAACGAGTATCACCTTTAATCTCAGAAGTCCTGTTTTAAGAATTTAATTTAAGGACAGTTAGGATAGTGTAACTACAGTCATGTGTTGCTTAAAGACATTTCAGTGAATGATAAATGACACTGGGCCCAATAGACTAGGTGTATAGTATGCTATACCATCTCAGTTTTTGTAATTGCACTCTATGACATTCACACAATGACAAAATCACCTAATGATGCATCATATCCCTATTGTTAAGTGACACATCTCTGTATAACTGTAGTATTTGGTGTGAAAAACGTACTTCACAAATGTACAAAACACCCTAGCAGAATTGCTTATAATATGGAAGATTTGGAAACAAATATTTAACAAAAGAAATGTGGGTAAATAAATTATTCCACAGAATGGAGTAATATGCACTCATAAATGAATAAGGTAGCTTTCATGGAAAATTGTCATCATCACTTACAGAACAATGCTTACTATATGATCCCATTTGTGTATGCTCAAGGATTGTAATCTTAGAAAAGTATAAAATCACCTAAGAATTTATGCACCAGGCTATCAACTGTGACCATCTCTCTGGGGGTAGTTTTGTAGGGATACTTATGTGTTCTTCACATTATTTGAAAATTTTGTAATACTCATCTATTATCAGCATGTAGAAAATAGAGTCTCTGCAGTGTACACAGTAGCTGAGGAGCTGAGCTCTTCCAGGAAGCCTCTTGTAAACTGCTGCAGTGAAGCCCCAAGGTTGCCATCCTGTGGCTCCTGAGTTGTGTTTAGTGATGTTTGAACTCTCTTAATTTAAGCCCAGAAAGACTTGTCTTGATAAACAGTGTAGTAACAGGTACATCATATTTTATTAATGATTATTGCTCAGTGACCTCAGGAATAAACTCACCCCAGTACATCCATTTAAAAATTCTGTCGTATTTTGGCTAATGACATTTATTTTATAAGGTATAACTGTGAAATTGGGCAGCATTCATTTTCAGTCATGGTAAATTTGTGCTTTAACTTTTTTCCCCTATCCAGAGAATGTCTTTCTATCCTGAATGTAATTCAGAACAAAAAAGTTGAACAACAGTTTTTCTATGAATTTGAAGGGGGTGTCAAGCTTGGAATAGGGGCCTTTAATTTGGTAAGTAGAAAATTATAAAGCTACCAGAATCTTTTTTTAAAAGAACCTAAAGTTTTGAAGAATCTAAGTGCCTTCTGTACTGCATTTGACCCTCTGCCCGGGTTTGACTAACAAGGAATTAGAGTGGGGTCAGCTTTCCTGTGTTGTAATCCACTAGGGCTGTCCTCAGCACACACTGTGATGTTCTCTGCACATGCTCAGACTAGTTTGTAGTACAGTCGGGTATCGTAGCACTGTCCATGGATGGTAATGTTCTGGATAACACGGAGCTTGGGATCCAGTTCCATTTCCACAACAAAAATATTATTGCTATTCCATATACTTTGACATTTGTATACACTATATAATAATCACCACCAAAAGTGTAGTTTTGATCCCATTTACCCACTTCAGCCACACCCCAAACCCCTTCTCCACTGTTAACCTACCCATCTCTTCTCTGTGTCTTAGTTTGTTTTTGTTTCATTTTGTTAGCTTATTTACTTGCTCTCTTTGTATTCTACTGATGACTTAAATCATAAGATATTTTAAAAAACACAGGATTTCCTTTCATCATTTTGTCAGACATGCATAGAGCTGGCATCTCCTGAAGTGTTGCCTTCCCAGCACTTCCTCACTCCACATAAAAGGAACAAATATTTTAGAGTATGCCGAAAAGACCTTTTTTTAATATTTATTTTTAAGGTTCTTTATCTTAGCTATATGAAATTAATTCATAAGTAATGAGTATAATATGTACAGCAAGTGGTTGCAACATATCTAGTAGTTTAAGGTTGGTTCTAATTTTTCTGTTACTGAAAGTGAAATTTTTTTTTATTTACATATTTTTTACAATGTTTGATTTCTCCTCTCAGGCAGTAATTTTATGGGAATACACCTGAGAGGAGAACGCATACAAACATACATTGTACTGAAATGAACAATGCTGTAAAATATATATAGAAGTAAATATTAAAAAAAATACCGCCACCAAGACACCCATGAACTGTTTGAAAGTGAAATTTTAAATTGTTTGGTTTAGACCATTTATCTATAGATAGATATATTAATAAATCAGTACTCTTGTGTGTTTTTTTTTTTCTCTTACAGATGCTGTCTCTTTTACCAGCACGGATTATCAGGCTACTAGAATTTATAGGATTTTCTGGAAATAGGGTACAAATTTAATTTTATCTTAATTTTGACAGGGAAGTTATTTATTAACAATTATTGAATATATTGGTAATGGAAAATGTTCCAATAGCTAGCATGACAATTCTTGACAATCTTCTTTGCAGTATAATAAAGAACTTTTGATCTTTGATCACATTTTTCAGGAACTAGAGATGGTTTTTCTATTGAAAGTATTTTGTTACCTAAACTCTGGGATTAAAAACTATGTTTTGTAATATTGCTTCTTGCTATATCTTTATTACTCTTGTGTGACTAAAATATGCTTCCTTATCATTTTTTTGCTACCTCAGAATGCTCTGTGAAACCATCAAATTAGGTTAGATTTCCATGTCCAACATTTTATGATTTTCATGGATCAAATATTATTGCAGTATTTTGGGTTTTCTTTTAAACCCCTTTGTTTTACACTATAAAGCCTGGAAATTTGTTTTCCATGAGTTTTATTCATTGTATTTCTGTGTTGTGGTTTTTGTAGTATATAACATTTATTAATGATAACACTCAATATGCTTTTTATAGGGTCGCCTTACTGTAAAAGCTATCCCTATTAGTCAAGAGAGCAGGCTTTGGGAAATGTCTGAGAATAAGTACAAGAAGTACTTAATTTTACCTCTGTTTATGCTACCCTCTGAGTTTCTCATAAGCTATAATGTATTTATGATGCTATCTTAATAATCTATCGATTCAGATTCTGCATTTCATGGTGACCCGTCTCCTCGACCTTTCACCTTCCATTTTATTCCTTCAGTGGTTCTGAATTTCCTCCTGAATAAAAGTCCAAACTATAGCATGAACTCCAGGGCTCCATAACTTGATTCTTGCCAGTGTTTCCAGCCTTATTACCCATATTTCCCCTCTCTCACAGACCCCCAGACCCCACTGAACCGGGGAATTACCCCACACAGGCCTTCCCTGTGCTTTTCTGTTTTTGTGCCTTTGCTGGTGTTTTTTTGGATGTCCTTCCCAGCCAGCATCCTCCCAAACAACATCTCCAACCACCAGGTTTGAGATAAATGTCATCTATTCCACAAAGATTTCACTTATCCTCTCCCAGTGAAACCCAAGTCCTCCCAACACTCAGAATCTTTTATTTATCTTTTTTATGACACTTACGTATTCTAAAGAAACTGTGTGATTATAATTTCTCTAATGGAAATATCTTTGAAAACATAGAACTGTATTTTTTCATATCCACCATAGTCCCTTGTTTTAATAAATTGACATTTTTTATCAGAGACATACACAATTTTTATGAAACAAGCATTGCCTTTTTCTCTCCCTAGAATCACTTGATAAGGGAATTTATGAGATCAATGTTAATTTAAAGTGTAAAGTTTGTTTCTAATGAGGTGTTATAAGTAAGCTATTGAAAAATATATCCCTTCTCCATGGGGGATGGAGCTCTGTGAACTGGCGTTGTAAAGTGTCTGAGTATGATTTGTTGATAGTGCTCTGCTCATTCTAAAATTCTTTTAATTCCCATAGGAACTGGGCCTCCTGCAGTTACAGGAAGGTGCATCAGGAATGAGCATGCGGTCTCCACTGTGCTGCTTAACTATACTAGCTTTTCATACTTATATCTCCCTAATACTTGGTAAGGACTGCATTGCTTTTTATGTCTTTTAAAATTGACTGCCTTTTATCTGAGTAAATAAGAGTTTAGAAGACTCAGTATGAGCACATAGTCTATATCTGTTTACTTTTTATTTTTTGAATAAAGATAAAAGTGACATTTGTCATAACAACATTTTTTTTTTTTTTTTTTTTTTTTTTATAGAGGCATGTTTTTATTTGTTTGTTTGTTTGTTTGTTCGTTCGTTTTGTTTATACATGCACTGGGTACAGTCAGAAGCGCGGGAGGGTGAGAGAATTCACCAGAGCCAGAGCGGGGAGCAGAGCAGGCAGAAGGACCGAAGTACACTGCTGAGGGGATCTGCGCGCCATGTGGGACCCTCCTCCGGTGGCCGGGAGCAGCCGGGGATCGAACCGGCGCCGCAGAGGTCGCCGGCAGCTTTGCAACCCAGCGCTCAACCGCTGCGCCACCGGGGAGGCCCTGTCATAACAACATTTGATAGCAGAGGTGGAGGGTTTCTTTCATTGAATATTTTAAAATCTGTTCTAAGCTAAAATATTTTTATAAAGCTTGTTTATGGTGATCTACTTTAGCATATTCATATTAAATTTCTTTTCTCATAGAAAAAGAAAATTTTGATTGAAATAAGTTAATACTGTTTTAAGACCACAGATTCCACTTACGGATCTATACCAACCAACCCTGTTCTTAGACTTAGTTTTAGGCTTTTTAAAATGAAAGTCATGGAACTTGTGTTTATTTTATTCCCCAAATGTAAAAATGATAAAATAATAATTTTCATCTTTTCCATGAAGGGGTCTTTGATATATGTTAATGAAATTTAGAGAAGTAGCTGCAAATACCTACCATGTTTCATGAAGACTGAGGCTTTTCCTTTGACTTCTAGGTACAGGAGAAGTGAATGTTGTGGAAGCAGAGAATCTCCTTGCGCCCTTCCTCCAGCAGTTTCCAAATGTATGCTTGCAATTTCAAGTGTATGTTGCAACCATAGTCAGTCAGTCAGCATTAACAGTTGACCACTCTGTTTTCTTCCTTTCTCCACAGGGCTCACTCATGTTGTTTTATCACGCCCGGATACAGCTGCTAAAAGGGAATGTGGAAGAGGTAATTAACTTAGGGGGCATTATGGGGCAGAGGGGTGTTATCTATATGGTGGAGTTGCAGCCATTTAACATAAGTAAATTCAGCTCTATGCTGAAAGAAAAAATGTAATTAAAATGTCGAAGTTTAATTTTGTGTATGCATTCTGTTACATAATAGATTATTCAATATGGTCTTCATGACACATAAACTACACGAGACAATTCAAGATAGAATATATAAAATACAAGTGGGCAATATAAGGGTTTTTTAAAAAACTTAGAGTATTGACAATGTCTGCATTACCTATGACATTAGAATCTAGTCCTACATAAGATACAAGCCCATTGTACTACATGTGCATTCCTCATCAGAGGAAATCATTCCCTAATACTCTTGGAGAAGAGTGAAGAATCTTTCATATAAATATACCCATAACTTTCTTCTATATAAGTGGGGTCAAACATGTATTTTTCTGATTTTTTTCTTTTACTTACATTTTGGATCTCTTTCTAGGTAAGTATCTCTAGAGCTCCCTCATAATTTTTATATGTATGTACTCCTTTGATTATCCATGAGTTAGATATACCATATATACTACTACGGTACTCTCTGTTAATAAGACATAGCTACTATGAACAATGCTGTTTTAAACATTATGGCTGTATTTTGTGAATGGTTGTATTTATATATAAGATAGATTCTGATAACTAGGATTTCTGGGTCAAAGATACTTTTGATAAATTCTGAAAAATTGCCCTCCTAACTTAAGATTATTCCAGTTTAAACTCTGCAAGAGAATACTTATTTTTCATGCTCTTTGCCACATCTGGGCATTATTTTTCTGTTTTATTTTTGCAAATATTATGGCCGAGAAATAACCTAATTTTTAAATAAGTATTTTCCAGTTTAAAAATTTCTTCATATGCATATTTGTCACTTTTTCTCTGATTTGCCAGTTTGTATCTTTGTCAATATTTCCATTGTCTTTTTAAGGCTTTTAAAAAATATGATAAGGCTTAATCCTTTTTAATGATGTAAGTAGTAAGAGATCCTCATGGTCTGCCCTTCACCTTTAACTTTAAGGTATGTTTTTATACTTAAGGGACTTCTGCATTTTATATCTTAACTTGGGAAGTTACTTCACTACTCCCATTTATAAAATTTCATAGTCCCCTCGTGAAGTTAAATGAAGGGGCAGAACTTAACTGTATCACGGCATGTAAGGAAAGGAACATATCATCATGTTGAATGGTTTAACAAGTGATGATTTTGTTCTTTTTGTACAAAGTGTTTTATGTATTTTTCCATTAGGTTATTATCTCCTTGTCTAATATCTGGATGATCAGCTTTATGCAATTGACTTATAGGCACAAGAGACATTTCGAAAATGCATTTCAGCTCAAGAAGAGTGGAAACAGTTTCACCATCTCTGTTACTGGGAGCTGATGTGGATTCATGTATACCAACAAAACTGGATGGAGGCGTATTACTATTCAGATCTGCTTTGCAAAGAGAGTAAATGGTCTAAGGTAAGGTGTAGTATTTTCATTAATGTCATCTGTTTAATATTAATTTGCCAGGATGATTTCAGACTTTTGGTCATAGTATGACATTAACACAGTTTTCCCAACCTGAGATCCATCAAAAGAAGATATATGCATTAAGTGTCTACTGTTTACATATAAGCATTGTCCTCAGCATTATGTGTTTTGAAAGGCATCCAGAGTTCTTTTCAACAAAGAGGCTTTACCTCTGACTTACCTTTAAAAGTTATTAGATATCAATTGTTCTGATAATTTTTTGTAGTCTTTTGATGCCCTGATGACTAAACTTTTTCATAATAATCAAAATGATTTCTGAATCATCTATGAGAAGTTGGTAGATGAGATAATGATCTCTTGTTCACCCTGTCCACTTTCTCACACATGTATGCTGTAGCCTAAACTCGTACACTAGGAAAATGGTTAAAATTAAGTGAAAAGTGTTATTATTTCTTTGATTCCTCTTAAATATTATATCTAGAAGACTTGTGGGTCCTTCCTAATTTGCAAGATAGAAGTGTCATTTATCCAGGGATATTTTATAACTAGCTGCTATTCTTTTGTTCTCAAGGCAACATATGTGTTCTTGAAAGCTGCAATTTTGAGTATGCTTCCAGAGGAGGATGTTGAATCCACTAAAGAGAATATCATAACTTTATTCAGGTAAGTACAATGCTATTTCTATACCAAAGATATCGAATGTATAAAGGAGCACAGAAATATCTCTGGAGATCAGGGCAGGGTGGAGAGTACTTGAAATCATTATTTCCAGAAAGTGGGACAGTGAGGTGGTGAGAGAAACAGAGTAGGGGGCATAAAAGGCAGTACATGGTCCCACCTGAAGTTGGTACTGGCAAATTTATAATGAGACCAGTCTGTTCTCAGTGCAGGTGCAGGGAAGATGGACACTGAGCTTCGTTCAGTGCCTGATTTTTGCCAGATGAGTGCAGCAGGTAGGCAATAGAAATGGGAGTTTAGGAAACAGGCCATAGCATGCACAAGTAAAGAAAAGGGCATTCTAAACAGGAGTGTTTACAGAGAGGGGGAATAAGGAGACTGCTGGATTGGGAGAAACTTGGAAAGCAAGTGGACCAGAATCTTAGTAGAATAGCCAAGTTAAAATGAAGGTGACGGTGTTAAAAGGGTGGTGTGCTTGAATTTGTGCTCTAAGATAGAAAAGTTGTGATGATGAAGTGCTCTAAGATATAACTGTAGAGGTGGATAGTCATAAGAGAAAGGAGGCAATGACCATTGGAAATGAGGAAGTTAAGGTATGGAGAATCCCTTCCACAGTCTTCAAACATAATAGATGGCAAAACCTTTTAAATGAAATACTATATTCTGTGACCCCATGTCTTAGCAAAGCCCTCAGACTGTTGGAACAAATTGAAGGTAGGACCAGGACCAATTTTTATCTTTTTAAAAGATCTTAAAGAAAAATGTATACTACCTGTTAGATTAACATTAGTAGAAACCATGGTATAATAAATGCCACTTCTTACTGGTGAAATGCATTTCCTCATTTCACACAACCAGCAACTGATGGAATGTTAAGATACACTGAAGTTTTAAAAATCCTGTGGGGTAAATAAAGTGTCAGCCTTTTTCCACCTTCCTGCCCAGGGCTGAGAGGCGTGGGCATGGGGCACTGCCTATGATTGTGGAAACCAGGGTGCAGGGAGCATGGGCCTGCACATGTGTAAATTCAGGCACTAGTGACTAGAGGAGAGGGATAAAGGCAGAGGTGGCAGCATGGCGAAGAGGACCACTCGGAGGTGGGACCACAAGATGAGAACGCCAGAGAGAGAGGCGAGAAAGCAGGAAGATTTGCTGGGGGCTGTGACATTTGGTTGCTGCCAGTCTCCTGGCCCCTGTCTGGCCTGCCCAGCCTTTCCTGCTGCCCATCCTGCCTGCCTGCTTGCTTGCAGGTTTGCCCTTAGATAGCCCTTGATTTTCTTGACTTTAGAATAAATTTCCTCCTTATCAATATAATTTCTGTGAAACGTGAAACCAATCTTAAGGGATAAGAAAGGTTGAGGTTTGCTGTATGATACCATCTAAGCTGTTGGGACAGGATGAAGAGTCTCCCAGAAGAACACTGGGATACTGATTTTTAGGTGATATGGTTTCATGTTCAACACAGGCTGCTGACCCCTTCCCTCAAGACCTGCCTCACATTTCACTGCCTCACATTTCTCTGCCTCAGCAGAATGCCTAGTTTAAAATCCCCAAATTGTACCCAAAATAATGATCACAGACTTATACTGGGTTACTTCTCCTGTTTCGTCTTATTTGTTTCTTTCAGTGCTATAACTGATATTTCCCTTAATTCTTTCGTGACAACCTGTTTGATCCATTTGCAAAATCACAGATAAGAAAGTGCTCCAGAAATACCATGTCTCTCCATTCCTGCTTTCATTTTTATGCATTTGTGATTTCACTACTGAAATTCCTTAGAATTTTTGAGAGGAAGTTTGTAAACCTGACTATTTCTAAAATCACCTATATATACTTGGGAATGATTTCTCGAGTTATACATTAACTGGCAGCTATCTTTTGAGCTGTATTATTCTATAGATCTTTGTCACATTTGCATGTGGTCTCAGAAAATGTGCCATTATTATACCCTCTTCCTTCTCTCTGAGGATCTACAATGTAAGTCAATACTTTGGACTCTTTTTTTGCTTATTTGTGAAAATCACCAGTTTTATATCTAAATTTCCTGGGCCATGTTTGACAGATTAAAATATTCGATGAGTTAGTTAGAAATATGTGTCCATCAGTGGTCCCTAAACTTGAGTTTGCATCAGAATCACTTGGCAGCCTCATTCAATCCAGATCACTGCATCTAGTCCTAGAGTTGCCAATTCAGTAGGTTTGGGCTAGGGTCTGAAAGTTTGCATTTAGAACAGGTTTCCAGGTGATGTTGATGTGTGGCATAAAGAATGTCTGTGTTCTACTAATCTTTCCGTGGGCCTCTTTGCAGGCAGGTAGATGGCTTGAAGCAGAGAATTGCTGGGAAATCGATCCCTACTGAGAAGTTTGCTGTGAGGAAGTCTCGTCGTTACTCTGCCTCCTTACCTGCACCTGTGAAACTCACCTTGCCTGCCCTGGTATGCCTTACTGTTTGTGTTCTAGAAAAAAAAAGACTATTCATAGCAACAGGGAGCACATCTAACTTGTGAAGTGTAGTTCACTCAAAAGCCATTGTAAGTGTGTTTGTAAGGTGAACATTTATAAAGAAATTATCAATAATTAAATGATAATAGTTATGTTTTAGACTAGTTGATATGTTCTAGGCATTATAATAAAAGTCATTCTTGAAAATACATCATTTGCTTCTTATAGGAACTCTGAGAAAGTAGTTTTTTCTTTGTAGCCCCATTTAAACAAGGGATTTCAGACAGAGGTAGATGAGTTGACTTAATTGAAGTTGAGTTGAATTATAATGCAAGCCATGGATGTAACTTTAAATTTTCTAGGATCCACATTAAAAATCAAAAGGTGGGCTATTGAAAAGTAAAAAGAAGCATAGATGTATTTTAAGCATTTTTACCTTCTATTTTGTTTATCCCAGTATATGTACAGTTTGTCATTTGAACATGTAATTGGTACAAATGCACTAATGAAATATCTCACATTCCTTTACATTGTACTGATTCCTTGAAATCTGCTATGTTTTATTCTCAGAGCACTCTTGGTTTGGACTGGCCAAGTGGCTAGTGGCTGTGGTATTCTAGCACTGCTAGAGAGATCTCCCATTCTTGGTTATGCCAGTTGGTTTAGACTTCATGAAAAGCATGACTGCAACATAAAATTTTCTTAATGAAGACTTCTTTAGGAAGCACTGAATATATGAAATTACCTTGACTCCTGGGGCCTCTCATTTAGTGTATGTAGCCAGCACAGCAACACCTTTTAGTGCAGCTCACATCTGTGGTCCTCCTTTGGGTTTTCCTGATTTGTTTTGTTTTGTATTCCAGAGTTTACTTAATTATTTCCATTTGACAGTTGTTCCCAGTTTTTATTATTGCAAACATGCTACAAGGAATATTCCTTTATATTCTCTTTTTGTAGATGGGCATGTAATTCTTTGAGAGACAGTTGTAGGAATGGAATTCCTGGTTGAAAGAATTTTCAGTTGCTGTCTACATAGCCTGTACCAATTTAAATTTCCACCAGTAATATTTCACTGTTTAATTTGTATTTCTCTACTGGCATTATTGAACATCTTTTCAGGTGTTTATTTGTTTTTTATTTTTTATTTTTTATTGAAATTACTTAGTCTGAACACCAAGATTGTGACTGCAAAAATGTTGTTTCCATCGAGTCAGGTCATCAATCATTTTCTTCTTCTTTTTTTTTAAATATTTATTTATTTATTTATACATACAAGCACTGGGTACAGTCAGAAGCACAGGAGGGTGAGAGAATTCACCAGAGCCAAAGCGGGGAGCAGAGCAGGCAGAAGGACCAAAGTACACTGCTGAGGGGAGCAGTGGGCGGCAGGAGAGGTCTGCGCGCCATGTGGGACCCTCCTCCGGTGGCCGGGGAGCAGCCGGGGATCGAACTGGCACTGTAGAGGCTGCGGGCAGCTTCGCAACCCAGCGCTCAACCGCTGCGCCACTGGGGAGGCCCTGTTTTTCATTTCTTATACAAATTGTTGTTCATGTCCTCCCTAATTTTTTGTTGGGTTGCTTATTGCTTTATCATTGACTTAGAAGAGCTTCTTATCCATTCTATGAGAAAGAAACTACAGCCCTGACGGGTGTCAGGTAGGAACTAGCCTGTACCTTGTGCCTAGGCCCAAGTATAATCTTATTTGAGAAAAATAGCTCCTGAGAAACAGCATCAGACCAGATTCTCCTGTATCTGTGATGGAACAAGACAAAAATGTGATCACTCTGTAATCATGTCTGAGCACAGATTTAAAAAAACATTCAAATCTTGCAAATCACAAAACCAGCCAACCCTGCACTGCACCCCTCTTCCCATATAAGGTGAGAGTCTGCTGCTGCTTCTCTGATTCCAGCGCTGACTCATTTCTATCAAGTGACTTGTGCTAGGAAAGATTTTCTTTTTATGTCATAGAACTTTCCTGAAAAATGTCCAGAGCATCATAACCCTTTCTCTGCTCTGGAACTGAGATATTAATGTATATATAGCTGTATCCTGCCTTGATTATTAAGGGTCTTGAGGAAGATTATTTCACTGTACTTCTTTCTCCTGATACAGAATTGACTTGAGGTAACTAAGAATTTTACCAAAATCTTATTTTTCATAAAATCTCAGATATGAACTTCTGATGAAGTAGTCCATCAATAAAAGCAAAATTAAAAAAAATCATTATCAGTTAAGAGATGTTTCATTAATTATTGCATTGAGCTTTGATGCTATTAACAACAAGCAGCTCTTAGATGTAAAATAAAAGGGATGGTGATGTGATCTTAGTTTTCAGTAACATAAAGTAAAGGTGACCTTGCCACTTCTCAAATGTATCTTTATTTACACTGCTTCCCTGGAAGAGACTTTTCAAAGAATATCTTCATCATATTTTAAAATTCATTTATTTCCAAGAAGATACTAATTATTCTGCTTATTTCATATCTTTCAAAATATGAACTGCACTACCAGGAAGACTAGAAAAATATTTTCAAGCAAGAGCACTTTTGCTTTTGGTCCAAAAAAAATTCTCATCTGTTAGCCCATTAAATGTGATTTGCAATGAGAAATCATTAGCTTACATTTTCAGGGGCTGTCATTCAGCCATATGGCCTTTAAATAAATGCATTTTTTTCTTTGTATATTGGATTGCATTAGTGGACTGTCACATATTTTTAATGGTGTAAAGGAACTTGAGCCCAGTAAAATATTTCCTATGTTCATTTACAGTGATATTCTTAGAAACATTTTATGTAAACAACTGGCTGATACTTTGAAACGTTCCCTTTACTGAAAAGTGACAACAAAATGGTACATGAATTGTTCATAGTATCAGTTAAAATATTTTATATCCATTTCTTTATTTGTATTCTGTTATCTTCAAAAGGATTGAATATAGTACTTAGTAGATATTTGTAAATGAATGAGTAAATTTTCAGCAAAAATATTTATATGTCAAATTATTTCACAGTATAAAAGACAAAAGAAATATTACAATAAAATGAGAGAAGGGGAAATTATATCACTCAACTCCCAATGAAGAAAGCTAATGAATGTGCTCTCTAAATGTTTTCTTGAGATCCCTAGCAACGGAGGGAAAACACATATATGTAGTTTGTCATCATGAAGGACACTGAATAACCTCATGTAATTGCAAATTTCTTTCTCATTAGGAAATGATGTATGTCTGGAATGGTTTTCCAATAGTGAGCAAAAGAAAAGACCTTTCTGAAAATCTGTTGGTAACTGTTGAAAAGGCTGAGGCAGCTTTACAAAATGACAGTAAGTATGAACACTAAGAGCCCGGAAATCATTACCATAACCACTCTCCTGTCCTCTGCGTGTGCACATCTGCCTGTGTTCATCTGTGCGCAGCATGAGGACAAATGAGCTTAAGCTGAGGGTGCGGGGTGACCACAATGGAGATGAAGGGAGGAACTATACGTGCTGTAACATGACATCAGTCTAAGAGAAAGAAAGTCCGCAGAAGTCTTCATGTTATGTGATTCCATTAATATTAGATATTGGGAATGGTCTAAAAGTTTAAAATATACAGAAAGTAGATCAGGGCTGCCCAGGGATGGGAGAGCTTAGTGTGTGTGATTGCTAAAAAATATGGCATTTCTTTTTTAGTGATGAAAATGACATAAGATTTACAAAATGAAATTATGTAATTATGGCAGTGGTTGCACAACTCTATAATATATTCAAGAACAGTGCATTGTATACTCTAAGTGGGTGAATTTTATGGTATGTGAATTATATCTTACTAAAGTTGTTAGCAAAAATAAAAGATGATAGGAGAAAGACAGTTCAGTAGCCTAAGGAAATTGAGCACTTTTTTTGATTTTAGTTTTTCATCACTTCCTTTACTCTCTGGTGATTTTATAGACATAGAGAATTTAAGTTGAAATCTTACCACAATCCATTACTTTTCCTCATTATTTTTGGTGTACTAGCAGCTCCTCTCCAGCTTTCTAGAAGGGCCATTTCCTGGAATCAGCTGGCGTACTTGAAGGATAGTCGTGATCTGGGCTCCGAGTCCCAGCTGTGGGCTGCATCATTCTGGCCTTGGGTTTCTTTATGATGGGAGCAGTGTTGGACCAGATGATGTCCAAAGTTTTCTTGCTCCGACATTTTCTAATGCTGCAGTCTTAATAGAGGCTTTATCTTTTGATAAACTCTGCCATAATGATAGCCTTTTCATGTTCCATACCAGCCCCCAAATCACAGGTATTATGCCAAGATAGTCCTGTAATATGTTCTAACCACAGGTGTAAAATGAAAACTTCTGTGGTGATTAACATGGTAAAGGGCATAAAAATTCAGGAATAGTCAGGGAAAATTACAGCAGCTAATTCATTTACTTAACTGGAAAAAGATGGGCACTGAAGGAGCGTTGGCTCCATCCTTAGTATACGCTTCCCGTGGGAATGAAATTCCTGAGTATGTCTCTAGGCATGAGGACCTCACCTAATCCTTTGTGTGCTTCGAGCTACAGTATGACACTGAACTGTTCGATGAGATTTCTCTTTACAATTACCTTAAAAAATTAGAGACATAAAAAAGTCACCCATGTTTTTCTGCTACTATAACACCATTAATTTAGAGTTTAATGTGTTGTATCTAGCATTATCTGTATAATCACAGCATCCCTGGACATATACTGGCCTAGTTTTTTCATTTATATCATAAATTTTTTTATTGAGGTATAATTGATGTATACTATTATATTAGATTCAGTATACAACATAATAATTCAATATTTGTATAGATTGTGAAATGATCATAATAAAGTTAATTAGCATCTGTTACCACACACTGATTTTTTTCTTATTATAGAGCTTTCAAAGTCTTAATTAGCAACTTTCAGATATGCAATACAATGTTATTAGCTATAGTCACTATGATGTACATTACAGCTCCATGATTTAATTATTTTATAGCTAGAAAATTATACCTTTTGACATCATGTACCCATTTTGCCCACCCTCTAGCCTGTCTCTGTAACCACCAACCTATTTTCTTATCTATGAGATTTTTTCTTTGTTATTGTTTTTATTTTATTTAGATTCCACCTATTAGTGAGACCATATGTTCTTTGTCTTTCTCTGACTTACTTCATTTACTAAAATGTCTTCAAGGTCCACTCATGGTGTTACAAATGGCAAGATGTCATTCTTTTTTATGACTGAATAATACTGCATTGTGCATCTATGCCAAATTTTTTTTATATGTTCATCCATTGATAGATTCTTGTTTTTTCCATATCTAGGCTACTGTAACTAATGATACAATGATTGTAGATATGTAAATATCTTTTCAAGTTAGTGTTTTTGTTTTCTTTGGATAAATAGAAGAGGAAATGCTGGATCAAGAGGTAGCTCTATTTTTAATCATAAACTTTTAAATTGATGCTAACTAGACTTTTATAATAATTTCAAAAGCTTTATAGCAGACCACAAATAATTAATCATCCCTTTCAGTATCGTTGGGCATTTAAGCTACTTTCCATATTTTTTTTTTAAGATTTTTTTTTTTCATTTATACAAGCACTGGGTACTGTCAGAAGCGCGGGAGGGTGAGAGAATTCACCAGAGCCAGGAACAGAACAGGCAGACTTGACGAAGTACACTGCTAAGGGGGAGCAGCGGGCAGGGCAGGAGAGGTCTGCTCGCCATGTGGGACCCTCACCAGCGGCCGGGGATCGAACCAGCGCTGCAGAGGTTTCAGGCAGCTTAGCAGCCCAGCGCTCAACCGCTGTGCCACTGGGGAGGCCCTACTTTCCATATTTAACATAATTCTAGCTTTAGATTTCCATTATAAGGAGAAAAAATATAAAGGAATGAAAGCCTAATCAGTGGACTTCTTACCTGCTAACAAGCTAAAAGTTTTTGGCTGTATAGCTGTAGAATCAAATCGAACAGACCCTTTCACATGTCCCTAATTAGTCACCTTGCAGATAAAAACCAGAGGTCTTAGGAAGATCACATGATGGAATATTCTACTGTACTATTGCAAAACAGTTACATACAAAGCTCATCTGTGGATGGAGGTGATTATATAGACAATTTGCTCTGTGGACTTTTAGCACTTTCTTTGTGTTTATTGTAGAGGTTCCATCACTAACATATTTTTACATTGATTCTGTTAGTACAGTTATGACAAACTTCTTTACTTTTTTTTTTTCACAATTATCTTTTTAATTTTTTTAATAAAAATTAAATATTTTATTTTTTTCCCAAATTTTTTGCTTTTATTTTTTCTTTGCTGTTTTTGCTTTATCTTTTTAATTTTTAATTGTGATAAAATGCTTGCATATAAAACTTGCCACATTAACCATTTTTAACTGTGCAGTTCAGGAAGTATTAAGTGTATTAACATGGATACATAATCTGTGTTTAGAACTTTTTCATACTCATAAAAAAATAACCCCCATTTCTTCTATCTCTGGTGACCATCATTCTATTTCTAGTCTAGGCATCTAATATAAGTAAAATTATACATTATTTGTCTGCTTGTGACTAGTTTACACTTAGCATAATATCCTCAAGGTTCATCTATGTTGTAGCACGTACAAAATTTCCTCCTCTTTTTTTCACTAAAGGCCGAATAACACTCCACTGTATTATGTACCACATTTTGTTTAGCCATTCATCTGTTGATATTGTATCTATTGATGTATCTAATGTTACTGATACTATTGATATTGTATTTGGGGAGTTTCTACTTTTTGGTTATTGTGAATAATACTATGAATATGGATATGCAGATATTGTTTGAGATCCTGCTTAAGTTTTTTTTTTTTAAAGCTACATGCCCAAAAGTGGAATTACTGGATTATATGGCATTACTATTTTTAGTTTTTTGAGAAATTATACTGTTTTCTTTACAGTGACTGCACCATTTTATTTTCCCAGTGATAGTGCACAAGGGTTCCAGTTTTTCCACACTCCTGCCAATACTTGTAGTTTTCTGTTGTTTTTTTTTTTTATATAGTAGCCATTGTAATGAGTACAAGGTAAACTTTACTATTCTTATTGTAAAATAATTTCAAAAAGGAAAAATATTTCCTTTTAAGTATAAAGAGCACAAAGTCACATCATCTTGAAACTTAAAACTACTTGAAAGTTCATATGAAAATGAGACTTCACAAAACACTTCTATAAAATTCATTTGGGCTTTGAACGAATTTACTAGTATTCATTTGTTTTCAACTCAATTTGGTCATTTTTCATTGAGTTGCTTATTTGAACACTCATATTTTCCATATTAGGTACAGAATTCTGACAGGTAAAGAAAGCATTGTTCCTATTCTTGATTATCTGTAATTACAACCCACATATCCACAAACTAAATGGAATAATGAAGATGTTTTCAAACAATGGATTTGCAAAAACTGGTAGTTAAAGGCAAATCTCTCTCTTTTTTAAAGCAAAACATTTAATAGGGTATTTTTCCTCCAGGAAAATAGGCCATTTTCCCCCTCTGTTTTCTATCGAAGATAAGAGTTTCGGTTTAATAGAATTTTGAATGTCCATCCTCTGTAGTACAGATCGATAGGTACCACCAGAGAGGGGTGTGGTAGCCTATATCAGAACATCTTGACATTTTCAAGAACCATTGGGTTTTTCTATCTGAGCACGCTTTCCATTCCCTACCCCTAAGTTTATTTTGTCCCTCCACTGGTTGTGAGGAAATTTAAAGTAGTAATGTATGCATCAGGCTGTGTATATAAAATGCAAAAGAAGTTTACAGAACCAGGCTGCTCTCTCCAGCTAGTCCTTTCCTTATAGTGACATATTGAGATGATATACTGTATAGAGATATTTAAACATGCTAGGAGGACATGAAACAGACAGACACACCATATTTTGTACAGTTCTGTCTTTGTATGTTTCCTCCAAGATAAAAAAAAAAAGGCTTCTTTTCTGAAGATCACCTTTGCCAGATGTTGTACAAGAAATTTATGATTATCTCTTCCAGGTTCATTGTTTTGTGTAGTAAAATTACCCAGGCCGCCTCCCTCTGGCTGTTATAATCCTGTAGTAATTTAGCTCCTATCCTTCACAATCGGAAAATTCCAAAACTGTTTAAAGGAATGAAGTTGTAAACCTGAGGGGACTAAGCCCCTTTCTCCCCACCCCTCAATTTAGGAATTGGATCTGTTTTTGCTTCTCTTAACTTTGCCAAGTGTCTCTCAGGTAAAATAGAAGATATAATTGATGTTCTCTCTGACAATGCCATATTTATGAAAGGCTGGTCATTGATAAAGGGTAGAATTCTGATTAGAGATATGAAAACACTTGGTAATAAGCCTGGGGTCATTGTTGGTGTTAATCCCAGCAGCTGGGATTGCATTTGAAATCTAGCTAAATTACACATGTAGCCAGAAGTTACTACTGCAGTTCTATTAGAACTATTTGTTGTATTTTATTTGCTCAGTGAAATTATATGGCAAACATCAGAGTTACATAAAAGGGAAGTGTCACTTACATAAGGCTTTCACTTTCTAAATCTATTTCCCAATTTTTCCTTTGGTGCATTTCAACTAGCTTCTAAAAAGTTCTATGTAGATATTTTTATAGTTTGGGCTTCAAACTTTCTTCCACCCCGCCTACCCTCCATTACATTATTAACTTCAGCGGATCTTTTGTGATGAAAATCTACTTTGGCAGCACTGTTGCGTAATGCTCTTGGAATGTAAAATGGAAGCTGTGTTGAAATATTCATCCATGAACTCACTGCTGAGGTCGAGGATTATGACACAGCATTCATATTTTCAAGGAAAATAATCATCTGACAGATAAGTGCTCTGTCAGCTGAGGAAAGAATGGTTTTGCTTTCTAAGGTTTTTGAGGAATGTGGTTATTTTTAATTCATTTTCCACATCTTTAACTCATGATCTAAATAAAAGTCAAGTGTAGCTTTACTGGTACTTTAACTTTCCTTGGACTTTTGTCTGTCCTCAGCAAAATCATTTACTGAGCACCAGAATGGTGTGGTAACATAATGGTTATAAAATGCTCCACAGTGCAATAGAATGCATAAAGACCATACTAAAATCTCCCATCCATTCTGGACCCTAAGACCTTTTGTTCTAAGCCTGAAAAGATTCTGCATCCTGAATGTGTGTTTCAGTGAACAATCCCGATGGATAGATTTTTTTTTTTTTTTTTGGTAGAAAAGTGGTCCTTAAGCAATAGGAAAGGTAATGTGGTATTGATATCTGTTAGTTTCTTGGTGAATAATCTACCAGAGATTTAAAGTGAGAGATGAATGTTGGCTGTTTTCAGCACATAGAAGCAAAGTGAACCCCCTTCTAGTTAGCTAGGTAGCATCGTTAACTTTCCATAGGCAACCAATTTACCAACTAAAACAACAGCATGTGTTAATGGTGTTTTCTGAGGTTTGTACTGAAAGCAGGAGGATTTCAATGTGAGGGACTCCCAGGGCCTCATTAATTTGGTTTTCTTCTCTTCCCCACCTGTGTTGTCACAGCCTGATATGTATAAATTATCAGTCTATCTCACAGTGTCTTCTGAGTTGTGTATAACTTGCAAACCCCCCAAATTCAAAAACAGGAGATGTGGAGTAGCTACCTTTGTCGGATAGCTATCACACATACTATGGTTCCTTCTGTTTAATATTCTACAGCCTTGGGCAGTAGAAGGCAAGAAGTCATTTTCAAAAAGGAAAAAGTGGTGAAAGAAAATTCTTTACATTAGCCCCAAGCAGGTAGAAGTTTGTGGGGATTTAGGTACCTTGCATATACTTCAGAACCATTTTGTCTAATTTTATGAGATAATTTTCCCCCTAAAAGAACGTAACCTGGGAGGATTGATTAGTTGTAAACATAATGATCTGGAGAGGGCATTCTACTTCCTGAATTTTTAATGGGTAGAGGGCCATCTGCTTCTCCATATGGAAGTGTTATCCTCTGCTGCATGAAGCCAACACAGTGAGAAGCCAGAACCATAGGAGGGGGCAGCCTTCTTGCTCCTGATGGCTTTCCCTTTTATAGAATTAATAAAGCTCTTCCTTTAGAGTTCAGGTTTCCCTGCTGTTATATCTCACATCACAGACTCAGCATAGGCAGGCACACCTGAAAAGTTTTATAAGTGGATAGAGCGAACTCCTTACTAAAATGGTGTATTAATGTACGAAAGTCAGTATTCTTTTCATTTAAAATATTTTCATTGTATTTTATTTAGTGAAGCATAACAAATCCCAAAAACATTTTCCTTAATTTTAAATGATTCTTCTGAAACCTAATCACTTTTAGTTTTTTCTCTTAATTAGGAATTTTACAAGTATTTTTCTTTTGGTGTGTGATCTTTGTTTCTTTCATTTTAAGACCTCAATGACTACTCTGTAGATGACGAATGCCTGGTGAAGCTGCTGAAAGGATGCTGTCTGAAGAACTTACAACGGCCTCTGCAAGCAGAATTGTGTTTCAATCATGTTATCCAAAGGTGAAAACAACAGTGAATTCAACATTATGGTTTTTAGGGAGTTACTCTAAGAAAGTAATGCTTTTATCTCCCGCTGCAAACCTTTTAATTGGTGTTACCAAAAAGAGAATCCAGGATGTTCTCTTTATTCTTTGAGGAGAAAATTATAATCTAAGTGGAACATGGTTTTATGTATTTCCACTTGGTGTTTAAAGGCGACTCAGATACTAATTTCATCGTTCAATTAACAGTGTGTATCTAGACTCGGTAGTTGTTCTGCTGAAACAAACACTGTGTATCTAGACTTATGGTGATGTCTTTGTTTTGACTGACACATTTGCCCATTCATTTATTCCACAGATATTTGAGCTCCTACTCTGAGCCAGAGACTGTGCTGGGCCTTAGAGATTCAAAGTAGTGATCCTTTGTCAGATGAAAGGCGCTTCATGTACTCTGTAACTGCTTCCCTCTCGGCAAAGGGCATTTCTTCTGAACGTAAATGAGTGGTGTTCTTGATTGTTTTTACAAAGCAGGAATGATGCTGTCCTCTCTTTTGCTAAACAGAACAGTCAAGATTCTGATTTCTGACCTCTTTTCTGACATTGCAAATTCAGATATCTGCGGGATCCAGACAAGTAGCCTTACTGAGTGGTGGCAGGACTAGGGATTGGTGGACACTGTAGGTTTGGGAGAAGCATGTTCTCTCTAAAGAGCAGCCACTCCTTAGCTCTAAGTGATGATTGCTTTCTAGGATGTCACTTAGTTACAAAAATCCTTACAATTTTGCATGAAAAAACTGGAATATTGATTTTATATTAAAAAAATCTCCTGATTTTCAAATATTGGGTCAAATAGTTTGAAAACATTGAAGCAGAATAGGGTGCAGGCACAGACTGTCAGTTGACACTCTCTGTTCCATATCATGAGCCTTTCTACTCATGGCCCCTGATCCCCTTCTTTCTGATAAATGATGAGAATGTAGGAGGACTGTTGTCCTTATAAGAAGAGGAAAGAGATTATGTCTATTTCCCAAATAGTAATTTACCGTCTTTAGAAAACATGTTAAAGAAATACCCATTGAATTCTATTTCATCAGTGTTCTTATGAGGATCAGAGGATGACCCATTTGTGCTATTTGTTGGGTTTGTTGTATTTCACGGTGAATCGTTTGTTTCTGTGCTTTATTTTGGATGATCATTTCACCTTCAGTGGGGTTTATCTTGAGACACATATGAGGCTCGGATTGCCCAAGAGTCTTTCTCTCAAGTGATTTTGCTTTTATTTCTGCCTGGTGACCCAAAGGCTTTTCTAATCCATGCCCACTTTCACATTAGTTTCATTGCTTAGAGGCTCCTAGATCATTTGGGTGATGTAAATTTGAATTGCAAGTTCTTGTGAAATCAGAATTATTCCTTATGAGTTTCCAAAGAAAAGAGTTTTTTTTTTCCTGACTGCCCTGTCTTCCTTCTATGCCTGTAAGTGGGTTTTTCTAATTTGCCCTTCAAGGGGCTTTCTAGAGAGCTTAGCTTTCTAGAGAGGTTTCAGGTCCCTGGTTTGCGTGGCTGTGTGGCCCCAGGCCTTAGCTCCTGCACTGACACTGAGACACAGAGTTCTGGGCAGTTTGGATTGAAGAAGAGCCCATCACTATTTTGGCATCATCCTGCACACAGCAGGTTGTTTTTGGGTTTTGTTTGTTTCCATTCTAGCTCTGATTTTGGACTTGACATTATTTCTTATGTTCTTGTGTACTGAGCTATGCATTTGAAATATATCATCTATATTGTATTTTTTTCAGTGCTTCTAGTTGCTTTGTGGCCAGAGTTTTCATAATATTGGTAAAAACAGAAATGGTCACTATTTATCTTGATTTTTTAAAAAAGATTTATTTATTTATGCATACAAGAGCTGGGGTACAAGTCAGAGATGTGGGGGGAGAGGGTGAGAGTATCCGTCAGAGACAGAGCGGGGAGCAGAACAGGTAGACTGACTGAAACTTACTGCTGAGGGGAGCAGTGGGCGAGACAGGAGAGGTCTGCTGTGCCATGTGGGTAGCTCCCTGGCTGACCGGGGATTGAACTTGTGTTGCAGAGGCTGTGGATTGCTTCATAGTGCAGTGCTTAACCCCTTGCGCCACCAGGGAGGCCCTTGATCTTTTTTTTTTTTAAAGATTTATTTATTTATTTATACAAGCACTGGGTATAGTCAGAAGCACGGGAGGGTGAGAGGATTCACCAGAGCGGGGAGCAGAGCAGGCAGCCTGACAAAGTACACTGCTGAGGGGAGCAGCGGGCGGCAGGAGAGGTCTGCGCACCATTTGAGACCTTCGCCTGGTGGCCCGGGATCAAACCGGTGCTGCAGAGGCTGCGGGCAGCTTCATAACCCAGTGCTCAACCGCTGCGCCACCGTGGAGGCCCCCTTGATCTTTTTTTAAAGCATTGTAAGACTTAATGATATGAACCTCAGTTAAAAAAAATTTTTTCTTTTTTTCTAAGTAGTCATTTCCTGAACACATTCATATTCATAGAGTGGCCCTATCCTCTCCAGGTTTCATCTTGGAAGATTTCCATGCTCTCATTTACCTAGGGGACAGCAAACTATCCTCAGTGCTAGATTCAGATTAAGGAATAAATAAAGGATTGCTATATTAAAATATACTATTTATTACCATAACTCATTAGATTCTTTGACTACATAATGACATTTTCTCTCTTAAGGGGCTTAGTGCTACATCCATCTGTTTTCTGATGGGTGTTATGTTTCTTCTGCCTTATGGACTTCATTGTTTTTCATTCACTCTTTTAGTGAAAAGCTACTGAAGTATGACCACTACCTAGTGCCATTTACCCTGTTTGAGTTGGCGTGTTTGTACAAAAGCCAAGGGGAAATCGACAAGGCCACAAAGGTCCTGGAGACTGCAAGGTAAGTGACGATGGAAGCTTTTCCTGGATGCTGTGGAATCAGGGATGTCAAGACCATTTTAACAACGGGCAGCAATATACACCTGCAAGTTAAAACACAACTAAAAATGTTAGAAAAAAATGTTACCTTTGCTAAATTATGCTTAGTTTCTACTCATAGCTTTTACTGTAATTGTGCTGTCCCCAACCTCCTCAGTGCCTGTCTCTGTGACTATTTAATAGATAATATCATCTTGAGCATCCATGTGACAGCTCTTTAACCTACTCTCTTCTATATTAGAGGTCAGCAGACCTTTTTTGTAAAGGGTTAGATAGAATTTTTGGTTTTAGGGTATAAGGTCTCCATTGCAACTACTCGATGGTATGGAAAGCAAGCATAGAAGCCTAATTTCTTGGAAGAATCACAGATTTGAAGAGGATGACAGAAATGGGAAAGTGGTGATCTGGTATACTAAGGAATTTTGACATCACAATTTTATTGTTATTGTGTTTAGAAACAACTACAAAGATTACTCTATGGAGTCCAGACTACACTTCAGACTTCAAGCAGCTCTGCACCTCTGGAAAAAACCTTCCTCAGATTGACCAGAATGTGAAGGACACACCAACATCTACTATAGATTAGACCTTGTATTACAAGTGGAAACGTGAATCTTGTGAATGAGAGACAAAGAAAATTCCCTAATTTTATTGTCAATATTTTCTGTCATCTCTGTGGTTTACTGTTGGTCTACATAAATGTTTTTCCCTCCTATGGAATGATACTGTCTAGAAAATTCTTATATTTTGCTTCTCCAAAATGTTGGAGAGTAAAGAAGTCTTTTAAGGGACTCACAGGTACAATAAAGTCTAATTAGATTATTTATTTTTTTAATGTGGAAATTAATATTGTTTAAGTAGCAAATGACTTGTAAGTTAGGCAGTTTTTAGATTTGTTAAATTCCGGAGATACTTTGTTGCTTGGTATTTAAGTTTGAGAGGAGAAATTAAAATCACCTACATTCAAAATAGCTTCATAATAACTTGATGACAATTCCAGAAAAAGAAGGCAATGGTTGTGGACAGGAACAAGATAATATACTTAGTAGGCTGAAGAGTTTTGTATCTAGAAAAGATAATGAAATATTGTATTTTTTTATTCTTTATGTAAGTTAAAAATGGTGACATTTTGAGAGCTTATCCTGTTTTTGAATGTATTTAAGTCTGTTATAATAATTCAAAAAGCTCTGAGTAGCTTAAGGGAAGAAAAAGTCATATTTTATAAATTATCCTCAACCTTAGTTAGCAATGTGAGCTGAAAATAGGAAAGTTCCTGCTGCATTCTTGATATACAAAATATACAAAATATACAAAATATCAATAAGTTTTATACTCATGATGTTGGAGTGTAAGATCCAGTTTTCTAATCTCTCTAGCACTGTGACGGTTCCTTGTAAAATCTGGACTGTGCTTAGTCCCTTAATTGGGAAACACTATCAGAGACATTGAGCAAAGAGAGCCTGACTCTGGTCCTGGTTCTGCTGCTGGTTAGCAGTTAACAGGGTGACCTTTAGGGAGCTCTCTGCTCACTGCCTCACCATGTTTTCTTTGTCTCTGAAATGGAAATTGAACAGTTGACGTTCAAACTCTCTTTCAGTCTTATAGCTGTGAGTCAATGCATTAAGTATTTATTTTTGGCAATTAATGTTAAAATGTTCAATCCCAACCATTCCTATTTAGAGTATGCTTTAATTTGCAATCATCACTATCTCTGTCCCCTCTCCTCCATATGTATGTGTTTATGTATGTGTTATGGCTAAGGACAAGATTGTATCCAGAGATAGGAGAAACAATTTGAGAACTGATGAATCAGGGTTTTGTCTTATTTCTATTTCTATTGTGAGGAAGAATAAGTTGTCATGGAAGCTTCTACAGTTTAGCAGAAACAGCTCCAGATTGGGAGTCAGGTGCTCATATCTGTAAGTTAATGGTTCCCTGAGATGGAGCAAGTCATTCACATGTTTTGAGGTTCAGTTTTCCCAGTGGGGACACCAATATAGTGCTTGGTGCTTGTGAGGGTTAAATTAGATAATGCATAGGACAGTTTTTTGTAAACTGAAAGGCTATGTGAGTTATTGTAATAATTATGGTTTTATGCACTGATCATATCTACTCAAAGGTTTTGGCTGAGCCTCTGATCTTTGATATAAAATTAAAAAGCATGTAAATTCAGATACTTTAACTTTATGAATGTGTTTGGTACTGACCATAGCTCAGAGTGTGAATTCGTTCTCTGTGAATTCGTTCTCTGCTCTTTATTCCTGCCCACTTGAGCCTGTGCTTAGCAGGTTTTTGATCCTGTGTTTTTTAAGTTGCTAATTCTTGAACAGTACTAAGTATGGAGTTAATGCAACTCAAGTCAGAATACCCTCACCCCATCAGATAGTAAAGTGGTAGATCTCAGTATGTGCTGTTAATATGAATGAAATCAATATAACTACAGACGAAAGAGGACATTAAATTAATATATTAAAATTGTGGAAAATGTGGTCAACATTATCTTGTATATTATTTAGAAAAAAGTTTATACATACCTTAGAAAAGTTTTGGTGGCATTATTTTTTTAAAAAACAGAAACACCCATGTGAAATGGAAAGTGAACAGTTGAAATCAGTTGAAACTGCAAATCAGAATGAAAATTTTCTTTCTGGTATAAAATGAAAATTTAAACTAACAATGGTCATTTAAAATTTTTATTTTAACTCTGCATTACCAAGAAAATATGAAATAAATTCATATCTCCCATTTAAATTTTTTCTTTGTTATTCTTTACTCTGTATTTATTAATGCTTCCTAATCATTTTATAGTTACCTGGTAATATGGATAACCTAGTAGATTTTGGTAGATTATCCAGCAGATTTTTACATGGTGTAATATCACATAAAAAAATTTGTTTCCTGCGCCTTGTGTAAGACACCATGCTGGTATCAGTTCCTTGTGACATCAACTAGTATTAGATTTTTGAATTTACTTTGTGATTCAGGGTGATCTGTGAAGAATGAGTACTGAAGTGACAATGTTTTTATCTAATGTTCCCAGGGGCATATGTGATGGGATTTGGCTGCCAGGAAGTCTGTGCAATTTGTGTAGTTCCTGGTATAATTGCCTTTTTTTTTTTAATGGAGAATCAGGATTCTGATTGGGGTTATATAAATTCATTACTCAAATAGAGGTTATACTTTGTAGGACTGGTGACAAGAAGGATGATTTCTCTTTGACATTAATGGAAGATTAACTATATCAGATCTTATATGTACATGTATTTTAATGTTTTCTGTGCTTCTCCTGGATACAAGAAGGTCTCATTTAAGAAGTTTATTGATTCTCTGTCTCTTCAAAAGACAGAAATAAGAAGTGGTAGAAGCTGTAGGGAGGTGAATTCCAGATTAATCAGGCTCAGTGAAGACTTAATCATTGAAACATCCAATCTAACTTGTGTGTGTGTGTGTGCGCGCGTGTGTGCGTGCGTGCAAGGGAATAACTATGGCATTCCTATCTGGCCTGGAAGCTTGAAACTTTCAGGTAACTCTAAGACTCTTTTATTAAACTAATTAAACAAAGGTATTTGTGACCAACTAGAAAGATTTCTAGAACTACTCTAATTCTTCACTGCTTTCCCCCCTATTTTCCTTAGTTATAGTCTTATAATTACTAATCATAAAGTCAAACCCATTTAGCTAATAAAAGCTCCAGTGACCATTTTGAAGCCGTTAGATTTTGTCTTTCATCTGTCTTGGAAAAGGTCTTGAGAAATTAATAGTGCTCTCCCCAAGCTCTAAATAGTGTTGTTTCTCTTTTAGTCCTGCTCTGTCTGACATTTTAGCCACTCTCCACATGTGGCTGTCGAGCCCCTGAAACATGACGAGTGGTACATGTTGGAATGATGTGCCTGTTGGAACTTAAACACACAAGCTCTGTTTTATGTAAATGGCTGTTTCTGTTGTGCTTCCTGAAATTCTGACTTTCACTCGTCCACTATGATTACTATAGTTGCGTTGCCAATTATGTTTCAAATTTATGATGGTTGCTTTTTTGGTTTAAGTGTCCAAAAACCTGCATTTCAGCATGTTTATTTTGCAGGTGATGAGAAGTCACTGGCATGGGTGAGCATTATTTCCTCTTATCCCCAGATGCTGATACACCAGACTGAAAGATGTTATTTTAAGATTATTATTTTATTCTGATTTTATAGACATTCCTCGCTTTTTCAGAAGCAACAGCACAAACTGTTAGAGTTATCGAGAAAGTGACTCGCACTTTTGAGATGTTAGTACATTTTATGATTAAAGTAATATTTTCTAAGGTTAACATTATTTTGAAAAATAGAGCGCTCTTTTTAATTCCTTTATATTATCACTGTTTCATCATTGATTCAGCAAGACCAATATTGCTATGTAAAGGTTTTTAGAGAGTAATTGCCCAGTTAGACTCTATTAGTTGGCATATGGTTTATTTGTTATATATTTTATGCCTTTTGCTGCCTGCTAGTACCATTTTTAATGTGTATGATACCTGCATAGTGTGCATACATATCACTGACATATCTTTAACCTCTTTAGACATTTCTTGATCAGAAAACAACTTACAAATATTAAGTAGACAATCTTTTAGACTGTTTTTCAGAATGAGTTCAGAAAAACTCTATCCTCAGATCAATTACTTACATTTTTTTCATTCATGTGTCAGGTTGCTTGCTGCTGAATCCTTGCTTCCCATTGTGGTAGTTTTGTCTTTTAGCTCCTAGATTTACTTACTTCAGAATATTGAAGTTGAAGTGTAATGGAAAGGACACATCAACATTTATCATGAGGGGAAAACGTCTTCTGTGTTGAGCAGTTGCTGTCCGACCTTGACAGTGTTGAAATTCATTCCAGCATCTTTATAACTCTCCAACTACAGAAAGGATGGATGCAAGGACTATTTAGCAGATTGAGAAAGCTGACCAGGTTCTTAGCCTGAATCATACCAGAGGGACATGTGGTTCTAGCTTTGGAGAAAGTCTAACCCCCATCTGTCCAGCTTACAGGTGAGGCAACATAGCCGTCTGTAAGACCTGTATATGGAAAAATCAAAGCAGCCCCCTCCCTTGTATTTAACTAATCATGAATGCCTACAGATGTCTACAGGTTGGCTATTCAATAGAAAAATTCAAGGTACTTTAATACTGAACTTCATTAAGTAAAACTTATTGCACATTAATATGGAATACACGTTGTATGTGAATCTAGTAATTCTTAGAAACACATTATTTAAATGATGAATGTAAGGGATGCTGGCATATCCCACTGGGAGCTTTTGTTTTATTGCTACTTAAGTATTTTCTAGTAAATAAGTTTTGATTATTGGTAGACTATTTAGGGCCTCCGGGAGAGGGCAGAAGATAGTCTCAGTGTAACATAACTGGTAGTCAGAGAAATCGGATATAATGAAACATGTTAAAGTTGCTTATCATTTCAGTTTTAAAGGAGTTACATTATTTTGAAATGCTGGAAAGTCTTCCATTTGAAAGGATGACACGCCTGCTTTGAAAATCATGTATACATTTAAATGCATTCTTATTTTTACTGGAGTCAAGTGTCCAGGTGGCAATTTTGGGTATAGTAAATAAGTTTAAACAATTTTCATTAATTCACTTTTTTCTGAAGTGATTTTATTGATCATAGTAGGTAATTTCTTCCTATACAGTGACTATTTTTTATTTAATAATGACATGAAAAGAGAGATTATGGTAAACATTATAAATCTTAGGCTATTGATTTAGTGGCTTAAGAAAAACAGTACCGTAGGGTTTTGTTTAACTGAAATTTTCAGAAAGAGAACATGTGTTTCACTGGTATGTGCTAGGAAAATTACTTCATCTCAACAATATGTATGTTCTCATGTGTCAGGGGAAGATTTTATAACTAAATAGTTTATTATTTTTTCCCAATGCTAACTGTTGATATCCAAACACCTGAATGAATACCAGCTGACTCATTGATATACTAGTGTTTTAAAATCTTTATTTGCAAATGTTCATAGAACTCTTGAATTTTTTGACACAAATTGCTAAATCCTATGTAAAGGCAAAATATATATTTAATAAACAAGAATATTTTATTACTGAAATTTATTTCTAACGCAAGCTTATTTTGTAGGTTCTTCACTTGTGAAGTTTTCTGTTGCCTTAAAACACACAAACAAATTAAACCTGTCTTGTCATCTGGTCACCTAAAAACCTGTAACATTCCCTTGACATGTAGAGGGATTTTGAATTTCTTCAATAGTGTGCATTTTCCACCTTTGTTTGAATTAAACAAAAGTAAAATTGGAGGCCATGGCATTTCATAAATCAGTGAATGATTTCCTGTTGAATCATCAAAACTTCCTGTATGTACTTTATAATTCAATGTTTTATTAGTAAAAACTGTCAGCATTTTCTTTTTCTCCTCTTGTTATATTTGAGCTCAACCTATCTTTCCCACTCCCAATCATCACAGTTTTATAGAGCAAAATATTTTTAGAGATTGAAGATGTGCGATGAATGTAAGATCTTCTAAATAAGGTACATGTGTTTGTAGCATCCATCTGCTGATCAAATAGCGTTGGATCTGGTACCAGAAAATGAAATCAATTGTAACTATAAAAGCATTTTATCAATACATGTTGACAAGAAAACTGTGAACTTCTGATATTTGTAATACAAAGACTGTTCCCAATGAGTATTCACTGGCTGATTTTGTGTTAGTTATCATCTATTAATTGTAATTAATGCTGATAGGAGACCTTATTTTTCAACATGAAGACAGCAGTTCTTGTATCCTGTTTTTACCATGAAGGCATTTTTGAAAACTGATGTCATCTTAGAAATTGTATTTTTAAGTGCAAATAAACCTTCACAACTTGAACGTCAACAGGTTTCTTTTCTTTTCCGTCCATATCACAGAATACCCTGCATTATCAAACACATGTTTAATTTGCCAGATATTCTCAGAATAATATATTTTCATATTGCTACCGCCGGCTTACCTACAATGTGCAATTGAATTGTTACTTAAATAAATTACACTTGATGGAGTTAACAGTCTTATTCTGGTTGGTCTATATGTGAAAGATGTACACAAAATGTCTTGTGTTGGTCTTTAATTGTCGTGTGATGTGTGCTTGACTTTTTATTTTTTGGTAAGACTTATTTGCAAGCCTTGACAAGCCTGCATGCTGTCCCTTCTTTGGGTCGTGTCTTGGCTGAGCCTGGGTATGAAGAGACAAATGGAAGGGCACACTTGAAGGGAAGAATGGAGGATTACCTTCTATTTTATCCTTTTATAATCTGTGTAATAGTTCCAAGATTTAGATTTCTGAACTATTAGTTCAGAAGTACTAAATTTAGATCAGCACTACCATGTCCAGTTTAAGAAGGAATCTTAAGCATTCGGTGTAGCATAATAGGAAAAAAAAATGGTGTCTGGGATCAGGAGAGCTGTATTTGAAGATGAATTTGGCTAGAGAGTGGCATGTGGTTCCCCTCTCCAGCAATCTCACTTTTCTGAGCATTGCTGAACCCGTGTAAAATAGGGGCAGTTCCACTACTTCATTTAGCTCTAGGGAGGACCAGAAGTGGAGTTATGCCAGAACCATCCAGGGCTAGGCAAACACACTATACTTTCTTCACTCCTCCCCTGTGAATTAGGTTAACACTTGCCCTAAGCCTGGTATTCCTGCCAATGGGTGGCTTTTCCTGTGACTCAGTACCCCAGGTTCTCTCAGCATCAGGACCTTGCCTTCTTTAGCAGCACATGGCTGCTAAGGTCATCCTGCTTGCTCTTTGGCGAAAAGGCACAGAAGGTCTCCTGAGGGGAAGAAAGTGCATATTACCTGTTTACATACCACTGACTGGAACTGTCACCTTGCTTCACAACGTGATAAGAGAGGCAGAGAAATGCAGTGTAAACGTGGGTCCTGGGAGGAGAGCGTTAGCTTGTCTGCCACATCCCCATTTGGGCTGGATCCACCTTGGTTCTCCCAGAGAGTCCAGTGCTTGCTTTCACATTTGTCTATTGTTCAGTATAAAGAGTTTGATGGGTTCTGGAACACACGAGTTGTAACACTTTGGGTTGAAAGTAAAATCCACTTGAGCTAGTTTTAAAACCTTGAGGCACATGCATTAAATGGATAAAGGGTGTTTTGTGGAATCCAGGAAAGTGGGAGATCCTCAGGATCTGCAATAAAACATTGGATTTGCAATAAAAGAGCTTTAGAGACCATTTTTTCCCTCCGTCTCCTGCATGTCCACTTCCTTTTCAACATATGAGTCTCTGCTAGTGGTTCATGGGCTACATGATGGGATAATGTCCACAGCACAAAGGTTTATTTTTCTTTCTTGCTCCATCACTATTTCAGGCCAGTGAGGGATCACACCACCTTATCCTTTTATGGGGCTCTGAATTTTACCTTTTAGAATCAGGGGGAGAGAGCATGATACTTAGGAATAAGTTCTTAAAGCTTTCACCTGGCTGAGACACATATTTCATATTCTAAGCAAATCACAGAACTTTACCTAATTTCAACTGAGCAGGAAAGTGCAACCCTAGAGTGTGTTTGAAAGAAGTGTCGGAAATAGTTTGTGAACAGCACTAATGACAACTATTGTTGAGATGCTTGGTTCACTCTCCATACTGCACACAAAACACACTCACTTCTGCCTAAAGGGAGATAAAGCCAAGGCCCCACTCTGCAGTGGCATCTCTGTGACATGCCCTGTAGTGTATTTCAAATCCAAATATGGCACCAATTGATCTGGAAGCCACGAACTAAAATATTATTTGCCTTCTACACATAATTTACATACTGCTTGAGCAGAGATAGGATAACCACAATAAACACTCCATTTTAAAAAATGAAAAGTGAAGCATAAGAAATACAGAGCAACTGCGGTCTATCATAATCCTAAAATCTCACATAGAGCTCCCCCATCTTGAGAGTGGAGAATGATCCTGGATTAAGCCTTGATCCCAATTCCTGGGAGTAATGCCCCTGTCCACTGTTGTCTGTGGTTTCTGGCCTCACCTGCTGAGAGATTGTTTTCCATAATTTCTTTAGCCCCATCTGAAGTGATTCTCATTAGGCACTGAGCAACTTTCTTGGCAATTTTCTACTTCATGTTGGGACTAAAGGAACATTTTCAGTTTCAAAAAGTCATATTTCTTTCAGTGCAGGTGGTTCTAGGCAGTACAATTCTCTCAAAAAAAGTATTTAGTTGGCCTTTTATCTATTTGATACAGATCATATGCCAAGTAACCTCACCATAGCCTTTTACATGCACTGTTCTAATTCCTGTCTCCAACCTGCCTTGACCTGACTGACTAAATATTGATTTGAGTTAATACCCTTTCTGGAATCAATTTCTGTATTATCTGGAATGGGATAGGATGTGTTGTCGTAACAAAAAAAAAAAAAAAAACCCAAGTCTCAACAGCTTAAAATAACTATAGTTTACTTCTTTCTCATTCTTCATATGCATTTTAGGTCAGCAGAGAACCTTGTTCTGCACTGTGGAAATAACTGGAACCTCCACTATCCATTGCTGTGGCAAAGTTACACCTGACTTTTTTGTTATTTTACATATCTTTACTGAGGTACAATTTAAATTGCATAACTTTTTTTAAACTATATAAATCTACAGTTAGTAAATGTGTATATATATCCTTTGTGCAGCTGTGAACAATTCAATTTTAAAATGGTTACATTACCTCAAAAAGTTCCCTTTTAAACTCTCCTGCACTGCTAGTGAGAGTGCAAACTGGTCCAACCACCATGGAAAGCTATGTGGAGATTCCTCAACCTACTAAAGATGGAGCTTCCATAGAATCCAGCGATTCCACTCCTAGGTATTTACCCAAAGGACACAGAAACATTAATTCAAAGGGGCACCTGCACCCCTATGTTTATAGCAGCACTGTTTATAATAGCTAAGCTATGGAAACAACCCAAATGCCTAAAAATAGATGACTGGATCAAGACGATGTGGTACATATACATGATGGAATATTACTCAGCATTCAAAAAAGATAAACTCATGCAATTTGCAGCAACATGGATGGAGCTGGAAGGGATCATGCTCAGTGAAATAAGCCAGAAAGAAAAAGAAAAATACTAGATGGTCTCACTCATAGCAGGAATTTAGAAAACCTAAGTAAGGGACCAGGAAAAAGACATAATAAAGTAAAAATCAAAATCAACAAGCAGCTATAAACCAGAGACACACTACAGGGGGGGAGAAGAGGGAGTAGGATCAAAACAAAGGGGGTGGAAATTGTACAGGCACTATAACCAAGATGAAAATGCATACATTGTGCAAAAATGAAAAATGATGTAAAAAAATACAAAATTAAAAAAAAGTTACCTTTTGCCTATTTGCTGTCAATCCCATTTCTAGTCCTCCAGCCATGCAAACAATGAATTCTTTACAATTTTGCCTTAAAAATTTTATATAAATGGAATTACATCTGTTCTTTTTTTCTGGTTACTTTCACTTAGCATGTTTTTGAGAATCCTCCATATTGTTGGGTATATTCAAAATTCATTCCTATTGATGAGTTGTATTCCAATATTAGAATATACCACATCAGTTATCCATTCACCAGTTGAGGAACAGTGTATGGTTTCTGGGTTTTGATTTTCATGAATAATGTCACTATGAACATTCGTGCATAAGTCTTTGTGTGGTCATAAATTTTCATTTCTCTCTCTCTCTTTTTAAAAGATTTATTTACTTATGCACACAAGAACTGGGGTACAGGCCAGAGGTATGGGGGGTGAGAGGATTCACCAAAGACAGAGTGGGGAACAGAACAGGCAGACTGACTGAAATACACTGCTGAGGGTGAGTCAGGAGAGGTCTGCTGCGTCACGTGTGTCAGCTCCCTGGCTGGGGATCGAACTCGTGCTGCAGTGGCCGCGGATAGCTTCACAGCGCTGCATCCTAACCCCTTGCACCACCAGGGAGGCCCCAATTTTCATTTCTCTTGGGTAGACTCCCAGGGGAGAATTTTTGGCCATTACTCTTTAGGAAGCTGCCTGTCTTTCAAATGGGCTGTACCATTTTATGTTCTCACCAGCAGTGTATGAACATTTCCAATTCTCCCCATCTTCACCAATACTTGATGTTGTCAGTCTTTGTTTTAACACTCGTTGATGTTGTAGGATGATGTCACAACTGGGGACCCCCAAACTTAGTGAACCTGAATCTCTCATAATGGGCAATAGACCCCCTGCTCTGAAGGGAGGCATTATCTTTGTCCTATGGGACAGCAAATAAACCAGCCCTCTGCTCTGGAAGGAGATACTCTATTTTCTCAAGCTGCTTGCTAGCCACACTTTTAGGAAAAGATTGTCTCCTAAAGATAGAAGGTAATGGGGCCATTTTAAGAACTTAGACTTTCATGCTGACTGAAATGAGGGACCACTGCAAAATAGTCTGCCAGGAGTGATCTTAACTGGTTATGGAAAGATTATCATAGCTGCCATGCTGAAACAGAGTGAGGTGGACCAGGACAGATGCAGAGAAACTGGAGTAACCCCAGTGAGCCAGACAAGAGGGAACGGTAGCACAGCCAGAGTGGGGTATTTTGAGTTTGGGCCTGTACAGTTGGAAGGGTGGAATTGCATCCACTGAGATGGGGAGGATGACAGAGGGAAGAGGTTGGGAGGAGGGTGCTCAGAAATCTGTTTTGGACGTGAGTTTGAAATAGCAGACATCTTGGTATCAAGAGGGCAGTTGCATAAATGACTGAAATTTGGGAGAGAGGTTGAGATAAAAATTGAGAATCCTTATAGCTGCTCTGGTGGTGGGAGAGCTAAGGTGATCACACCTGAAGAGAGAAATCCTATACTGCCAAAACATTAACAGAAACGACAAAGATGTGAAACTACGGTACTTCATTTTAAAAGAATTGGGAGTCCTTAATGTACATATAACATTGAAAGCCTTACAATTGTCATGAGTATAGCTCAGGGAGTGTCAACAAAAATCAGTCATTACAATTTGGGGTGAAATGTATCTTCTGTATGTCCATAAAAC